ATACACATTGCTTCCATTTATATATTTTAAATAAACAAATTTAATGTGGCCCTCGTGCGCTGCACTGTCGACATTTCTAGATATTCAACGATAATAAATACATTGGTTTATATTTCATTTTTGTCTACGTACACAGTGGACTGTGTATATCCAACAATTAAAATACAAACTTTGTCAAAACCATGAGAGTAAATCGAGTGTTATCAAGGGTACTTTTTTGAAGTTAATGAGTACCTACCCAATCCAAATTTCATACTCAATGCCCTTTTCTACCATTGGCGTAGCATTTTTAAAGGTGCAATTATTTAAAAAATCAAGTTCTCGCCTATGTTTTATTATCGGACAAAATTTTATACGATGAAAAATATAAAAATTTACTTTTTTCATATCGTCTTCAACACCTCTAATCGAGACTTTCAACAAAAATACTCGATTCTTGCCATGTACGATTTTTGTGAAACCTATACACTCTAAATTATTAAAACAGAAATTTAGCGAAAACCATGAGAGTAATCGAGTCTTATCAAGAGTACCTTTTTGAAAGTAAATGAGTTGCGCAATCTAAATTTCATACTCAAACTCCTCTTATTCCATTGGCGTAGAATTGTTAAAGTTGCAATTAATAAAAAAAAGTTCTACGCCTATGGATTAATATCGAACAAAAATTTAACACCATTTTTTTGCCACATAAAACTCTATCAATAAACCAAATTTTAGCAGAATCGCATATGCCGTTTTAAATTTATATGGGAAAAACCGAGGGGGCGACCACTCTCTGCAATACGTGTACATTTGGCCTGAAATCACTTGCAATCGTCACTGAAATCCCCTGAAATCCCGCAGTCAATTTGCAATCGCCGAAATCCCTATCTGCAATCCCGCAATCGCTTTCGCAATCGCGGAATTCATCGAATTCAATGATGGAGGGGAGACGACCATTTGCGGTAAACCAACGAAGGTATATTATATTTTATGTTGTTTTTCGGTTATACGTTAATCTTTGAAGAATCTCTAGTGTAGTTTGAGTTTTGTGTGAAAAAATCGACATTATGTTGGTTCTTCGCTGACAAAAAAGGGAAACTATCATCTGACAGAAAAATTCGTTGTCGAGGTATATCAACACGAAGTCAAAATCTTGGTCAAATGAATAATTCCACTTCTTCTGCCACGAAGAAAAAACAGAACAAAAAACCGTCAAAAAAATCGACGAATCATCATGTTGAGGAAACCTCGGATAGTGAAAGTGACGTATGCTATTCTGAGACATCAGAATTTGAAAATGAAAGTTTTTCGGAGGAAGAATCAAATGGAGAGAAAGAAACGTCAATATGCATTGAAAAGTATTATGCAGCTATTTATGACACCTGGTATATTGGACGTATTTTAGAGATCCTCGAAAATGATACCTTTAGAGTTAAGTTTTTGAAATCGGAGCTGGATATGTATACAGGCTGATCCACGGTGGATGGCCTATTAGAAGTATCTGGAGAACGAAAATACAGAACATTCTGAAAATGCTTTGATAATTGAACATTCTCTATCCGTCTGAAATATTTTCATCGATACAGTGTTGCCACTTCTATCAGAAACAACTAGCAAATTCGTTATTTTAAATAGACCACCCTGTACTCGACCCTGTATTTTATTGAATTTTTCAGATTCTCCTTGAAAAGCTGATTTCATCAATGTATCACACTTACATAGGGTCTAGCAGGAATGATTCCAGAGATAAAGGGTGTTCATAATCGAGATTTTTCAATTTCAGGATTTTTTTGTGTTGAGAATATTCATTATTGATCAAAACGGTTTACACGTCCCTATCTTAACTTTTGATTCACTATCTACTGACATTTAATTGGAACAGATACAGGGTGATCAGAATTCTGAATTTTGAAGCACCCTGTATTTTTTTCAATCAAATTCCAGTAGATAGTCAATCAAAAGTTAATATAGGGACATGTAAGCCGTTTTGATCGATAATGAATAGTTTCGACACAAAAAAATCTTAAAATGTCTCTGTAATCATTCCTGCTAGACCCCAAGTGTGATACATCGATGAAATCAGCTCTTTAGAAAGAATCTGAAAATGCAATAAAATACAGGATGTTCCATTTGAAATAAAAAAGTTGCTAGTTGTTTCTGATAGAAGTGGCAACACTGTATCGATGAAAATATTTCAGATGGATAGAGAATATTCAATTATTATCGAAGAATCGCAATTTTCAGAATGTTCTGTCTTTTCCTTCTCCAGATACTTCTAATAGGACATCCACCGTGGATCACCCTATGGCCTAATAAGGAAGATATTCAAGTTGTATGAAAAAAGTACAAATTGCATGGGCCAATCGGCGGTAATGGACCTTTCCGCCTTAAAAGAAATGATATAATGAATATTGAGAAAAAATACAAAGATTCAAAGAAACAGTCAATTCGCTAACATGAATGCCAGTATGATATGCTATGTTCACTTTTATAAAAAGAAAAACACCAGAGTTGAAAGAATAATAAAAATGTTTATATGAGACAAAATGGTTTTTCAATAATTCCAAATTTTCTTCAATTATGTTTATACTTTATATGGTTGTATAATTCGTCATGCTTGAATAATTAGGAAGATGCTCTACAATTCGAAAGGATTACCTATGTGGTAATTGAACTAAATCACATATAAACTCTAATTTCAGAAATTCACCAATGCAATCAAGCTAGCAAATGAACCCACAATCGCGGAAATCGTCTCGCAATCCTCAATATAATTTCACAATCCCATTGCAGCCCCTGCAATCACTCTGCAATCACCGAATTCAGTTCGCAATCCTCCGAAATCGCAACAATTTACAAAGAATTCTCTGAAATCGCTGAAATCATGGGATTTCCGCAATACGTGTACATATTTTTCAGAGGTGGTCTCCCCCTCGGGAAAAACGATTTAGAAATTGTAACTTCAAGGCCCTCTGGAGCCCAAACGATGCAACTTTGTACTGAGGTAATTTTACTTAAATCGACTTATTTTGGTCTAAGGAATATGTGGTATGTTTCTGTAAAGACTTTTTACAGACACCCTGTAGAACATTTGAATCATATTCGATTTAAAATTTCAACTAAATAAAGGAAACACATATGTTGGTATAGGTATAGACCTATACCTATATAGGTATATAATGGATATCGAGAATGTACGTAAACCTACCCAAATTTGAAATACTACCTATATTGCCTGCATGCTAAGCAGATAAATGGGTTAAGGATACCCCGTATAAATAAAGTCTCAAATGGATGGAAATGACATGATAAACAATCGTAAATAATATAATACCTTATTGGTATCAAAAAAGATAACAACCAGTGAATAAACTAACTCGATACTGAATACCCGATAAAATAAAATTACTGATAAAGATACATACATACCTATAAGGATATGAGGAAGGTAAGTGGTATGCCCCAGAATAAAGGGGGGTATTTTTTTATAATTAATTCAATATTAAAAATTCTATGATGATCAACGTTCAGTTATAAATCTAATAAATGCATTCGTTACCGGTTTACGTCAAATCAGATACCTAAGTAAATATTGAGGCAAGTATAAGAATAAGTCTCTTGCATATTGTAAAAATAACGTACCGACATAGTTCCTAGTTTCAAATTTTCCCGCTTCAAGCTGCAATAATAGATGGCGCTTCGTTTAGTGAATGTGAATCGATCGTTTCAAGGCCAACAGGATGTTTGCCAATAGAAGCGGACTGTTATATTATCTGATATTTATGTTCGGGTGACGTCAGGGTATGGGCTGTGTGCCAATAACACCATTTTACTGTATTAAATTTTATACTTTTATACCTAGGTAGGTAATAACACAGTTGTAATAATAGGTATACTACCTAGCAGCATGTTTGTTGATCGAAATGATCGAATTATTATGAACTCTGTCTTCTGTGACTCGAATATTTTGCATGAAATCGATTAAAAAAGAATGATTGAGAAACTTTTTAACCGACTAGGTAGGTACGAACCTAGACCTAGGTAGGTAGGTAATTCCCATGTCCCTTCTAAGGTGCCGACATTGTAGTGTCCATTTACTAATAAAGAAATTTCGGGGTTAGCTATTTCGAAACTGAATACAAAATAAATAAAAAATCCCAGCACCAAAAAAACTCATTACCTACCTACGTTATCTAACTAGGAAACTAGGTATATTACCTGCCTACAAATATCAGAAAATTCAGGTTTTGTATTTGTGTCATGCAACGATTTAGCAACGAAATATCTATTCAAGGTGATTTCAAGGGCAGAAGCAAACGATGTTGCGATAGGTAATAACTTCTAGCAAATTTCTACTCTATTATTATATCTCAAAATAATTTTGGATGATTAATTTGTGTACCTAAATAAATCTCAATCAGAATTATTCACGATCAAATAGGTGGAATTTGTAAAATTATTCAACATGCGATCATTACGTTGAAATGGATATTTCACTTCGGAAATTATTAGCACACAGCCAATGTCATCAAAATGGAGGCCATGTATTCATGATACACAATTTAGTTGTTTGGATATCGAGAAATATGCTAATATTAGGTTGGGAGCGATAATTTTAATGATTTTTAGCCAAAATACCCTAAAATTAATTATTATAATAATGATAATCGTTTACCTTCCTTCAAAATAACTGGTCATAAAAAAGGTGTCATGTCTTTTTGGCAACTATCTTGAAAAAGGTCCAGAATACAGCCCTAACTCGCAAATTTTCAAAGCTGAAGATTTTGAAAATATTTGTTTGCGTTGATTAGGACTGCATCTAGCCTCTGCTATACATTTTTTCTTTGTCTACTGGTAAAATTTCGATCCGGGCGTGACCCACGCCCATGTCCTGTTTGACGTTGAAAGAAGCTTCTGAAAGATTTTTCACGAAAAAATCGATCTCAACGTAAGTTTAACATATTTCTGGCCTCGGAAACGATATTTCGTGTAATTTTGCCGTAAAAATTAATGCAAACCTTTTGATATCACATACGAGCGCCATTACGACCTAAGTAAAATATTCACTTATCAGGAATATTATTGAAATGGCAATCATGAATATAGTCACTCATTCACTGTTTTATCTGTCCTGTGGTGTTGAGGGGACAGACATCGTTTAGATTATTACGCATATTTTCATGTAAACCGACTGTTCTCTTCGGCGAGGAGACCACAAATGCTTTCTCGTAATTCTCGTTTCTCGATTTCTCATGAAAAGGAATTTGATATCGAGCTGGTCGCTGAGAGGCGAGCCAATAGCTAGCGGGCACTTGTCACGCTCAGCCAATCGTCGTCCGTGAATCAGTCGTCAGGCCAGGCAAGTCATCCAAAGCAGTCCAAAGGTTTGTGAACTTTCGCAAATCGGCAAATCGCGTCGCAATCTAGGTACAGTCGTCTTCAACGAACATGTCGCGATTGGACGGACTGAGCGCTTTTATTGCAGCGGTGATCAAGGGAGCTGACACCGTCCATGTGCGACATAATCTCTGAAGACGACTGTACCTACCTACCGAGTGAGAGATTGGATTTCGATTCGCTATTAGGGAATAAAATCGAAATCATGTTCAGAATATTAGAATTAGATTGATTAGGATTGATAGTCTGTTGAATCAGAAATCTGTCTACTTTCTTATTTTTATTTTTACATTATTAGTACCTATACCACAGTTTAAGGAATACCCATTCCCATTCCTTAAACTGTGCTGAAATAGTCAGGTCGGTATAGATACATAGGAACCTAGGTATAGGCACAGTTTAAGGAATATTCCTTAAACATCAACCCCTACTATATAGGGGGTTTTGAATCTAGAGAGCTGAAATATTGATCATTTCAAGTGACCCCCTCGAAAATAAATTAATTGACCTGTCTTCTCGATTTATCATATTTTTGATATTTACTGGAAGCGAAGGGAGATATATACCTATGCTACCACAATGGCATTAGGGATACCTATTTTCCTACCTACTCAAAAATTATGTTCTCATCAAATCTGATGATTCCTAGCAGATAATGTAAATACCAAAGTGTTTTAGATACCTGATGGGTACCCATCTTCATCTTGATTGATGTTGTAATGTTATAATGTTGATTGTTGAATGTGGTTTCAATGGTTTCTTGAAGATGACAGAGACATCTATCATTCGAACATAAGAGCACTACATTTCTGTCTACAGTTTTCTTCTTTAGAAACTTAACAAAAGTTGTAGATTGGTTACCTACTATACCTACATGAAGTTTAGTTGCAGTGGCGTACGACACCATTATTGTAGGATGTATAAGGACATTGGGAATTTTTTCAAATTGCACCTCTCCTTTTTTTTTCGCAGGTTACGTACCTACCTACGAATATCTAGAATATATAAAATTATCCTGTTCCTGTCACGGTGTCCGAAACGATAATTGTTTTGCCTATCCGGTAGGTCTGATTGAAAATTCAAGATGGCGGATCCAATATGGCAGACGAGTTTTATAATTATATCGTCCGATTCTATTCAAAATTATAGTATCTGGGGATTTTCGGGGTCGGAGATTATGATTCTTTCGTCTAAATTGGCCAATTCAAGATGGCGGATCCAATATGCAGGACGAGTTTTGTCATTATGATCCGATTCTATTCTATAGGAGTTTTCGAGGTCGAAGATTATGATTTCATCAAAATTGGGAAATTCAAGATGGCGGATCCGAAAATTTGTATCTGCAGGAGGTTTTTGGGGTCGGAGATTATGATTTTTTCAACAAAATTCAAGATGGCGGCTCTCTACATTGGGCCTTTCATACATCGTTCGTCTACTCATCTAAACAATAATAGAAAATAAAATCACTCCCAAATGTGTTTGAAATACAAATTCAATAAACTTCGCCAAAAAATTTCGTGAGCACCGAAATTCTACTAATCATTAGAACTGTCAGAAACGATAGATACCTATATAATAAACACACTTGAGGAAGAACTATGAACTCAATGGAATATTACATCAAATTGGAATAAATGGTACTTGTAGTTCTGACAAAAATAGGATATATTCCATAATCCCTGACTTTACCTATCAAAAACGCATTTATTTTTCGATAACATAAGTCGAAGTAGGTATAGGTACAGGGCGATTTATGCATTTTGAAATGTTAATTACCTATGAAACTCTGAACAAACAAAAATATGTTTTCTGTGATGTGAACTAAGCTAGCAACATTTTTCAAGATCGGACCAGCGTATTTTTCCTATTCAGAATACCGAAGTAGCTTCTTTGCTGAAACGTCCAAAGATAAGCAGTGAATATATATCTATATTCTTTTTCTTCAAACATTTTTCAAACAAGGTGTCACTGTTTTTATTGTGTACGTATGATGGTATGATGAACTGATATCCATCGTACAGGCAGAGATCGACGAACCAAAAGAATATTTTTGGGTGGGGCAGTGAGTGACTGAGTGACTTTTGCCAACTTATTCTTTAATTTTCTAATTTCCGTTTTGAATAGAATGTGAAATTTGCCAACTTACAAACACAACAAGAAAGTGAATTTTACTTTTTGCCAATTTATTTTGGAATTGTCCAATTTCTATTTTGGACAAAAAATTAATAATTGGAATTGATCCCCCTATAGATGAATAATAAGAGAAGTTTTTCTAAAACTCATTTACTTTGATATTGAAAAAATGAAGAACATATTTATTCATAATATATTTTCTCATCAGCAAGAAATTTTGAATTCCGAACTGGGAATATTGTGATACACAAAATTTCATTTTCAATCAGCTCCGAATCGGAAATCCTGGGTTCGTACCCTACATTTCCCGAATTAAAAGTTTATATTTCCAACTCAAAATTTGGAATTTATTTTTTTCGACTTCAAGCTTTAAATTCTCACTCATCAGTCGGAAAGTTCTAGTTTGCAGTTGGAAGTTCCTAGTTTGAACAGGAAATGTAATTTTCCTTTATGTTCAACTTTGTTCGCTTTATATATTGTTGTAGAATGATTTATATATCATTCCTGCTGATGACATGTTAACAGAATATTTTGTCCGATATTGAAATCATGTCGTTTAATTCCTTTCTGACTGTCGAATCAGTGGTCTAGTGTTGAACCTCAATCCTCATGTATCGACATTTTCTTCATGAGCTGTTATGCTACATGTATATAAGTGTTCGACACACCATTCATTGTTGTCTTTCGCATGATTTAATTGAAATAACATTAACTTCCATGCAAACATTTGTTTTTCATCCGATGTACTGACACATCAGGAAATTTCAGTATTTAGTAGGGCCTATACCAACATGCAGGAGAGAACGACATCCTGATGGCATGTTCTTTACTAACCTAAATTTCACGTTCCTTTATTGATGGTATCTCGAATTACCCTGTAGATCGATATCCGCTCAATATCAAAGAAATTGAAGTGATGAATTCCTCCCTGATTCGATTCAATAAAAAAACTCTCTTATTTCATAAACAGATCAGCTGAAATTGAGGACATTTCAAGAAAACGTCAATTTTTCATTAAAAAAGATGTTGCATGTTAATGAAGTATGCTAGCGAAAAAATCTCGACAACGTTTCGACAAAACACATCAAGCATTCATAATATGCCCTAGAAAAGAATCCGAAAATGTTTTCATATGATTGGGATAACTTTTTATCCTTTCTTTTTATCGCTTGGAGCGCACGAAAGGGAATCCCTATAATATTCAAAGAACATCGTGCGTTCCTAGGGAGGATAGGGATAGGAGGAAGGTATTGGATTTTTTTTTGAACTTCTGGAGATTATATGTTGTTGGGAATACTTCCTCATGCAATGAATTCCAGAGCCTGGCCGTTCAATGGATGAAGGAGTTTTGATAAAGTGCTGTTCGACATCTTTATTCGAGGTTGACAACGAAAGGATGTGCTGACTGGGCTTGTCTAGTTCGTCTGGCTGGTATTGCTACTGAATTTTCGACAAGGTATTTACTGATGGAATAAAAATCGAACTGGCAATAACCCTGATCCCCGCGGAGAGTGAGTTGACAACAACTTTCATTTGCTGTTGTCAAATTAATTATTCACGAAATCCGATAGATTTCACGTGATGTGAATGTGTGAGGTCGACGAAAAAAATGTAATGTGCACCTCGGCAAAAAACTGGCTATTGTCTCGTCTGATTGCTAGCCTCGGCTAAGGCTTCGGCTATCAATTTGCTGACTCAGCTTTAATATAGACAGTGTATCGTCCTTCATACATAAATAACTATTTTGGAAAATTCTCGCAGATGAGTCTATTACTTCCTGTACATGGCAGCGATGCCACATTCGTCATATCTCAGTGTTTGCTTCAGTACATCGCAGCTATGGAACATTCGTTATATCGCAGTGTTGCCTCATCGCGACATCTCAGAGATGTCATGTCGCAAATGTATTTGCTTTTGTACATCGTTGAGATGAAACATTAGTAATATCTCAGTGTTGCCTCATCGCAACATCTCGGAGATGTCATGTTGCAGATGTGTTTGCTTTTGTACATCGTAGCGATGGAACATTAGTAATATATCAGTCTTGCCTCATCGCAACATCTCAGAGATGTTATGTCGCAGATGTGTTTGCTTATGAACATCGCAATGGAACCGTTGGGATATCGCACTATTACCTAAACGCGATATGATGCATTACTAGGCTCCCTTATTGAGCTTTTTATACAGGTTGATAAATATAAAACGACAAAATGTTGAAAGCTCTTCCCACGACCCGTCTAGGAGGTCTAGAGATATTAAAGATCCTGGAGAAAGAACAGAACAAAATTTCTAAAAATTGCACTAAAAAATTAATCAATGCCATCAAGTCCAATCAAGCTTTCGATCTTTTAATGACCATCTAACCACTCTGAACAACATTTGAGAGTGAGAGATTATTAAATCAACTTCCTTTAGTCCTCCGTTATGGACATTCACTAGATAATATATGCCTGTTTCATGTGATGGATGTGGAGAAGAAACGAATTTATCGCACGCTCTAAATTGCAAGAAAGGTGGCTTGATAAAACATGGACATGACCAACATCGTGATCATTGTGCGGCGTTATCAAATTTATCTTGGAATGGCGTTAACTTAGGGAACTTCAGGAAGCTGAAAGAGTTGCGTTTTTCGATAACCGCTTATTCCTCTTATACTTCCCAAAGCTGGCATACCATCGCCCATAATCAAGCAAAGCAAAAGCATTGAAAATATGACAGTGCGGCAGAAGACATCAGAGCTAGCTTCACTCCATTGATTTGTTCTGTTGAAGGTGTATTACACGGGGTCCGATTCTCGAATCTGTAGTAATTCGATCCTATAGGAGAATATTCCAATGCTTTCAGTTCACATAGGAAATGATGATTTGTCATGACACCTATTCTTGAACCAGATGGCATCGTTTTTCCCCAGGAGATTGATGAAGTGCCGTATGTCACAGATAGATTCTTGATTTTAGATAATTTTCAGGTTATAATATATATATAATTTTGCGACGGTGAGATTATTGTGTAATGTATTGCATATTTACTATATTTCCTCTGATCGAAATGGATAAGGACAAAAACAATATTAAAAAACCACGCGAGTTGGTAGTATTAGCAAAGAGCAGAAAATACTTTTAATAGAAATAATGGAGGCCTCTGAGGACTTGAGGAAAAGAAAATTCACCTAAAAGGATTCTAAAGTTCTATTAATGTCTTTGGACAGCAGACAAACACTCAGATGGGTCCTTTCTAGGCAGAAACCTTCTTCTTAGTCTTCTAGCAAGGTTTAAGCCACTTTCATAAAGTCTCTAGACGATCTATTTCATCTATGTTTGCCATGTTTTGCAATACTTATATTTTTTCGATATTTCACTACGGTTCAGTTCCCATCACAAATGAGAATATCTTCGTATTTCATAAGTGTATTCTATGGGAAACATGTTGTTTCAATGGATATTACCATGGGAAGCAGTTCCCTTGGAATGTGTAGGAATAGTTTCCCATACAATATTTCAAGAATATATCATCTCAAAATTCTATGGGTAACATCGAGTTTCCCCCATGGGAACGAATTCCAAGGGATTCGAGAATCGGGAACCAGGAATATGCCGTTTTTCAGAAACGTTTAGCAGCAGATACAATATCACGATAATGAAAAAAAACGTTTTCTCAAACAATAGGGTGGATCCGCATACAAGGGTAAATGTCCATAATCAGAGCCATGTCCCTGCAATTGAGAGGTACAAGCAGGGCCTATACTCTATCTCACCTAGAGTAGGCCCTGGTACAAGACGGCATAGAGAGCAAGATATCTACCATATGAGGACGGGGCAGCTTTACCTATTTCATTCCATATTTAAATTTGTTCATCTTCATTGAGTTCTAATTACTTTTACTTATATTTTTTACATACTATTTTATTGATATCTATGATATAATATCCTTAATTCCTGCCATTATATAATATATCCCTAAACTTCGATTTCCGATATAATCATTGAAATCCTGTGAATACATTATGTACTATGGGTCATTTGAAATCAATTTTGTGTCCAAGATTATAAATTTCTGAAAACTGTGTACTTAGATAACCAATTCATTTTGTAAAATTTCGAATGTATTCTGAATTAAGTACCTCGATAATCTAATAGCTTTTAAATTTCCATTCCAAGATTTCAAATTTTGGCGGTCATATAATCCATCCGTATGAGTGTGCTCGGGAAATTCCGACTGTTTATTTGTGAACAGGTTTTGAATTATTATTATAATCTTGATCGCAGTTCTTGAAGAAAGCCGATTAACGAACGATGTTTTTCTAACAGTTTTTATGTTTTACTCATTATCAGTGGTAATTTGTGCTAGGAAAACCTATAATTTGAGTCCTTATGTAGACATCTATACTCTCTCAAAATAAGGTAATTTTTTTGAATGATTGGTTTGTAGTGATTTTCAGTGGCGGATGAATGTTTTTCTTCATATAAATTATAGAATGGTTCATTAATAATCGTAGTGTCCATACACAGCATTCTATTCAGCATTGGTATTCATAATTTATAAAAAAATCATGCTGCTATAACTTTGTGGAAATACTTATGGAGACTTTATATTATGGGTCTTAGGATTTTCAAGTCTATACGATACAATAATGGCATATTCAGTAGGTATATATACCTGCACAAATGGTAAAATGATCGCTTTCCGAAATTTATATAGAATAGAATATTCTGGTACAAAGGGAATGTATACTATCATCTATATCTAGGTAAGTACATAAATTAATTAGTAAAACTACGTACAGTGTACAGTCGTGTTCAAAAAAAGCGTACAATAAGTATATTGCAGGGAGAAATCAAAGTTATATCATATATGCTTAAAACGAGCTATCGGGCATGAATGTCTACCAAATGTTGACAGTAGAATAATCATAGGTTCCCAAAAACACAAAGCATTGGCTGAGCCATTCTTACACAGCGAGAACTAGAATGCCGAAATCTTCTATGTTTAATACTTATGTATACGCTTTTTTATTGAATACGACTGTACGTATTAGTACCTACCTCAATTATCGCAATAATTTGATAAATACACAGGTAGCATCGTAAAAAAGTAGTTTACCCCATATAGTAGCAATAGCAGTAAAGTTGTAGCGAAGTGTAGTAATGAGATTTTTTGGTGATTTCAAAAACAATGATAAATGTGTTAGTGGTCCTAGCCAATTATTTTGTTTATATCTGATGAAACTTTCTCGTCCTCGATAACACATTGTTTATATTGAACTGTCCTACAGACTCCTGATTTTATCAATCACTTTGTTGTGTGCCAAATAAGTGATTATGTGGAAATATAAAATTTCATTAATTACATTTTGCGGACTCGTGGTATAACCTATGCAAATTCAATTGAATTTTCGGAAAACGTTAAATAATATTGTGGTAAATGATGGGTAAGTAGGTATAGGTACACTCGTCTTCAGAAAACATGTCGCAGTTGGACGGTGTCAGCGCTTTTATTGCAGTAGTGATCTAAAGAGCAGACACCGTCCATGTGCAACATGTTCCCTGAAGACCAGTGTACAGAAAAGCGAGCAGAGAAGTGCACAAAGAAGCCAGTTCTGTATAACTTTCTGCATCATTCGAGGTCGGACTTCGAAATTTGGTGGAAAGCAAGTATATAAATTGCCTTTTATTGACAGAAAAGAAACCTACTTATTAATTTTATTACTTCCGCTTCAACCGGAAGCAACACCACCTTTTAATTTTCGAATAGGACAGCCTATTTATATTCCGATATTTTGATCAGAAAGTTTCTAGTTTGTGTAAAACAATCCCCTGAATCCGAATATGAAAAAATATAAAGAGCAGTTTCCTGTATTTAAAAATCGAAAGTCGGTGTTGTTTCTATAGTTGAACCGGATGTGATAGATCAAAACTTGTTATGTCAATAAATGAGCAATTTGCTTGCTACTCATCAAATTTTGGTAAGTCTAAGTATAACAAGTACAAACAAAAAATAGAATATTCACAGAGATATAATCGAGTCTGCAAAATGCACTTGTAACTATATCAAAAGGCAGAATTCAAATTCTGGAGAATACAGCTCGGACCGTTTTTTTTCTGCACTTCCCTATATAATAATAATAATAATGATTTTATTGATAAGTATAACAAGTAAAAAAAAAATAGAATATTCACAGAGATATAATCGAGTCTGCAAAATGCACTTGTAACTATCAAAAGGCAGATTTCAAATTCTGAATACATCGTCAGAGACTTCCCTTCATATGTAATTTGATATAATTTTGGATTCGACCAGTGCCGGATTTATACTCCCTTACGCCGGGGGCTAACTTTTACGATGCCGCCGCGCCGCCGCCAAATATTAAATTTTAATTGTCAGTTTCAAAATTCAAATAATCCGTTAACTGCATTCATTACAGCATATAACTATATCATGAAATCATTATGTACAACGAATCAAATTATATTTACTTCACGTTAAACATAACAACGAACAACACATATTTTTTTTCAGATGAATACTAAAATACTTTTCTTGATTCTTTTGATGCAAAGTCGTCAATGGCATCATCAAAATCCAGGTTTAAAAACATGTCTTACACATGTCATCTCTTTACTCTATTAAGATTTAGAGGGATTTTGAATTTCCGGCGCCATCGAGTTTCAGTATTGATAATAAAAAATATTGACGTGTGTTGTGAATATATAACCGCAATTATGACAACCTGTATATTTTGTTACTGGTTCTTAGGCCGATTTAACAGTGGGTATCTCTTTAATGGAGCATTTCAGATCAAAGGTTAGCCCAGTTGCTTATCTTTTACGACCAGGGATTTTCATAAATGTGATTCTATAACTTCAATAATAAAAATATAAATACATTGATTATCCAACAATAACTTGGAAAACCACTTGACAGATTTCAAAACGTCACATTTCACATTATTTGTTTTGATGCAATTTTGTTCATCCAGCCGTTTCTACATATTATATAATCTTTGTTAGAAAGTAGGTATACAGCATGTATCTATATAGATAACACCGAAAAAAATCATCAAGGGCTGATTCCTTGTGATATTTCAGGAAATAAAGTTCATATAAATATGATTGTGTCCTATCTTGCTTCTATTTTGAGACACAGGGTATTAAAATTTCCATGAAAAGTCTTTTTTCTATTCATTTCAATTGTCTTCATCAATTTCAATAAAACGTTGTGTTTTTGTTAATAGTAATATGGAGCTTTTTCTAGTGCACTTAGATTCGAAATATTATTTCCAGTGGCGTCACATCGATTTTGCATCAAGAATAACATATCGCAATTATACATTGCAGAAAATACATCGCTGTTATATCGCAGAGAACTGATCGCAGCGACGTCGTATGAATGAAACTTGAGTGGGACAAAATAACATCCCTGTATAACTGTGTTTGCTGGGATGTCCCTATCTAAACTTTTGATCCACACCATCTACTGACATTTAATTGGAACAAATACAGGGTGGTTCAGCATTCAGAATTCTGATCACCCTGTATCTGTTCCTATTGAATGTCAATATGTAGATACTAAATCAGAAGTTAAGAATAGGAAAACACAAAAATGTCCTAATGTTAAAAAATCGGGATTTCGAGCACCCATTGCTCTGTAATCATTGCTGTCAGACACTATTGATGAAATAAGTTCTTCAGAATGAATCTAAAAACGAAATGAAATACAGGGTGTTTCATTTGAAATATCAAAGTTGCTACTACTTTCTAATAGAAGTGGCAACACCACATTATCGAAAATATTCTAGTTGCTTATGTTGTTGGGAGTGTCCGATTATGCTCTGTGAGAAATTTTCGAAGTGATCTGATGTCTGAATCAGTGTATACTAATATCATTCCTTATATTTCTTTTCAGTCTACGATGTTTGTACGCCTCTCAGTTTTGAGCTTGGTTCTATTGTCGAAAGAGGTGTCAAACCAAGATGTTTCTCCTTGCCCCGACGTTTTCTCCTACGAACCTCAGAAAGCCGAGAACGACAGGTGGTACGGATCAGCATCCTTGCAAACTACAGAAGATCTGACTGGAGTTTGGTTGGTAGTGGAATTGGACAGGCCAGCAGAATTATTGGGGGTGAGAAATTAGAATTAGGGTTTCCACCACTAGACCTAACCCAGCAAACATTTTGATATGGGGGCATTAATGACCTAATATATTTTCCCCATACCTGACATCAGCGACCCAGTAAATGGTCCCATATGCGGGACTCTGTATTATATCAGTCCGGTCCCAGAGTGCTGGGTGCCCAGCAATCAAATTCAGTTCCCTGGCAAAAGGCCAGTACAACATAATCGACACATTGAGTTGCCCATAGCAAGCCCAGCATATACATGAATTATGGGACTGCTAAGGGTTTTAGGGGTCCAATGGATGTGAGAGTTCTAATTACTCTATAACTCTCTTATTTTTCAATATAATCCTCTATAATGGAACATAGAAAATCCAATAATTGAAAGAAACAAAATGGTGGAGAATCGAGAATTTTTGTGATTTATCAGAAATCTCTGGCGAATAAAAAAATATTTATTCTTCCAATCAGGACCGATACAATTTTAGATCATTGATTTTTGAAAAGGATGAGCACTCGAACATCTGAATCGAACAATTAGTCCAGGACACACACGTTCTTTTTGGCAAAGTGGTATGGAGTGGAATCCAAATTCGATCGAATTCTGATAAAGCCAGAAGCAAACTAAAAGTAATTCATATCACGGGATTGGCACATTCACTCCATACCACTTTGCCAAAAAGAACGTGTTTCTCCTGGACTAATTGTCCGATTCAGATGTTCAAGTGCTCTTTTTTTTTAGAAATCAATGATCTAAAATTGTATCGGTCCTGATTGGAAGAATAAACATTTTTTTGTTCGCCAGAGATTTTTGAAAATCACAAAAATTCTGGATTCTCCACCATTTTGTTTCTTTCAATTATTGGATTTTCATAATATGTTCCATTATGTACTACAGTTCTTTATCTTTGAAATAACTCTAAGAGATCCAAATTCGATTGAATTTTCATGAAGCCTGAAGCAAAATAATAATAATCGTTTATACGAGATTAGCACATTCACTCCATGACAAATTGCAAAAAAATGAGAGTATCTACTGGACTAATTGTTCGATTTCGATGTTCGAGTACTCATTCTCTTCAGAAATGGATAGCCTAAGATGACATCGGTACAGGTTGGAAAAAATCTGATTTCCTTTTTCTCCAGCGGTTTTTGTAAATGGTAAATGACAATACTTTATTGGTAGAATCCGCCATTTCGTTTTTGTTCATTATGGAATTTTCAAATATTCCACTGTATACTATAGCCCTTTAGCTATGAAACGACGCCAAGAAATCCGAATTCGGTTGAGAAATGATGAAACCACGAGGAAAATAAAAACTTCCGTTTTTTTTGTGACCACCCGATACATACATAACGAAACAACATCGAATTGTCACCTATTTTTGAACGTTTCGGGGACGAATCCACTACCGTTTTCAACATAAAAAATGGAAAATATTATTTTTCTCAAATTGTCTTCGAATTCCAGTGTTGTCTCAGTAGAATCTTCAAACGCAGTGACAATTTGGGGCAAATCATCTGATTTGTCCTCACATAGATCTATGGTCCTCACTACACATATATTGAAATAATATACAAGAAGTCCACAAAAAACGACCAGGATCATTTGAATTATTCTAGATAGGTACTGTCTGTAGAGACATATAGGTATACAGTGTGGTCATTTGAGTGTGCAACATATGGGAATCTTCTTAATAAATTGCACAAACAGAATACAGATAGTGCCGAAAGTTGGTGCATGTTCGGTGATCATTTTAGGTGCACTTTTGCACTTAGAATGGTTGCAAGTCGAACAGCATACAGGGTAGGTCAATAAGAAATATATAAATTGCTCAAGAGTACCTAAAGTACCCTTATTTCAGAAAATTTTGCGAAATGTTAATGAAAAAAGTTGTTTACAATTGAAAGTTATGCCTAAATACCAAAACTTGGCCTCGTAAGACATTTTTTATATTTTCAATTTTGTTCGTTAATAATTTCCCAATTTGTAATATTTCAAATACAAAATGTTCACATTGAATGGAAGTTTTTGAATATGCATATTATCATTAATGATGTTTTACCTTGTTAAAAATATAGTTTGCGAAATTTTAAAGTTGAGCTGATTGTCGTTGCAACAAACATATAGTTTGTGATTGCCTAAAAAAATTAAAATCCAAGTTAATTGCACAAATATGCATTAATTTGAACAAAGGTGTATGCTCAAGTGATCTTATTATGATTAACTTATGAAAGTATTGAGGGTGAATATAAAAAAATTACATATTGGGAAATTATTCACGAACAAAATTGAAAAACTAAAAAATGTCTTAGGAAGCCATGTTTTGGTATTTAGGCATAACTTTCAATTGTAAACAACTTTTCTCAATAACATTTTGCCGAATTTTCTGAAATAAGGGTACTTTAATCTTGAGCAATTTTTATATGTTGTGTGACTTGCAAACATTCTAAGTGCACCTTAAATGATTACCGAACATGCACCAATAACTTTCGGCACTGTATTTCGGTTGTGCAATTCATTAAAAAGATTTCCATATGTTGCACACTTAAATGACCACACTGTATAGAAGAAATATAAAATTGTACTTATCTTTGGACGTTTCGAGGACGAATCTGCTTCCGTTTTCAACATGAAAAATGTTTTTTTTTGTATTGCAAATTCGTATTTGTCCTGACAGTTCTCAGTGACAATTGATGACGTTGGCAATCAAATGAGTTACAGGATGTTTTCATTTATTAATCTGGAATTTACCATTTTCATTTTCAGATTTCAGTAGTGAATACCATGTAGTGAATACCATGTTCGAGTCTCTCAGGCTGATGATACCATGTTCTATATGTTCATATATAAATCTATATCAACTGAACAGGAAGCAATGCTATTGTCTCCGTTCAGAAGAATGCAAGCAGATTCCTTGATTTTGACTTATCTAAACTCTATCTCGAATAATTCAAAAGTTACAGTCCTGCCCGTTTTTTGTGCAGTTCTCTATATAGGTATATCTACTTATATTATTACTTCATAGAAATGAAGAGAGAAGATTCCAAAAAATCTGGAAAAATACCTTGTATAGTTTATCCGAAGTGAATTGGAGCGCCTCGAGATGCACGTGCACACACCTACCTATTCAGTATTCTGAAATGTTTTTTGATTCCAGAATTGGTTCGGGGAAACTTATTCTACAGACAACCAATTATTCCGCATAACCAATCCAGATTATAAACTGGAAGCTGGTCCACCGGTGTCAGTCAGATTCTTCGTGCAATATGATCCGAGCAGACCGATTCCCAGTCTCAAAACGATGCGACTCAACGGCAGGTATATACAGGGTGACAAATTGAAAACTCCCCATCCTCAATATCTTCCTTCCAGTAATAATCCAGTGAATAGAGACACATAGAGGGGGTTCACCTTACAAACGGTCCGGTAGTTCTGAATTTTTGATATGTTATCTATATAGGATGGTTATTGAGTGTTCAAAATGCAAAATGCACAATTTCCCTTCCTCCGCGCCCTCCGCCATATTGAAAAAACCCAAAGAAATCGGCACTTCCTCCAGATTTTAGCTTATATCTTCGTTTAGGTGAATTTAAGCTACAAATGAGGTCTATTCAATGTTGTAGAGGATTAAATTTCCTATAATTCTCGTTTCGAATTTTGTTTCTAGGACTGCTAGTTACGGAGATATGATTTTTTTTATAAAATAAAAAAAACGCATGTTCCGGAATTTTGTCAAGTACGTTCAGCGACACTATGGCACCAATGTGATGGTGATTTTTGATGGCTACACTACAGATCCTTCTCAGCAAGGGACCAAGATTGCTGAGCGAGCAAGACGCAAACTACTCCACCCCCTCCTACAAGTTCAACTACAAAGGCTGTATCTTGCTCCTGCACGCAATATCGGGCAACTTTTTAGGAGAGACCCATCAAGCGGAGAGGTTCGAGGACCCTGCTGCCAGTCCCCAAGAAATTTCAGTAGCAGGGAAGAGAATCTTGGTATCCCCATATGGTGTCAGTAAAGAGCAATCGTTGAGCTCCCTTCGCTATAGCAGATTGAAAACAAGTACCCTCAAACTCAATTTGGCTAAACTACCTCCGACCACTGACTCCGCACATTTCCACTTACTGAGGACACACCACCAAGTCATTGAGTGAATGGGTAGGTAGGTAATCAATTGAAAAAGTACCTGCATCTTAAGCATCGCGCTGTGTCATGTAAAAATACAAACTAGGATTCCAAATTCAAGCTTATACTGTAAAATGGTTAGTGAATATTTTTTAGATACACTGTGGAGTCACAATAGCCAAAAAAACAATATGCCTTGTTTTAACTTTCATTTTCACGCCCCATTACATAGGGTGGGTGAAAAAAATTGTAGATGCATTTCTGTAGGTAACTAAATTCCCTACAAATCTTCTTCTGATACTTGTTTCCCTAGAATATGCCATAAGGGAACTACAGCGTTCTAAAGTGAGAAGTTTGACGAATTTCCGGAAAATGCGATTTTTTATATATTTTTAAAAGGTGCTTATCTCCGTAACTATCAGTCCTAGGATCAAAATTCAAAACGTGAATTATAGGAAATTCAATCATCTACAATACTTAATTGAACTCTTTTGTAGCTAAAATGCACCATAACGATAATATAAGCGAAAATCTGGAGGAAGTTACTATTTTTTTCGGTTTTTTCAATATGGCAGTGGGCGCGGAGGAGGGGGAATTGTGCATTTTGCATTTTAAACACTCCATAACCATCCTAGATAACATATAAAAAATTCAGAACTACCGGACCGTTTGTAAGGTGAACCTCCTCTATTCACTAGATTATAAATTATATGAGAAAACGAGAAGACATGTCTATTTAATTCTCAAGGTGGACACTTGGAATGAATATTTCTAGCCCTCTTGTCAAAGTCACTACCGTCAGATAATTTTTGTTAAACAACATCGTTTCTTTCTTGAATCAAATTGTCTTTTTACTGTAGTTGTGTATCAATAATAATATCCCTAAAATACACTCGAGACATGCTTTTATTGATAAATACACCAAATTGCATTCAAATTCATTTGCCATTTGGCAAAAAATATCGAATCAAGAAAAGTTGGAAAAATCGCGAGCAAAATGATTGTTTGCCACGACAATAAAACATTCATACAAACTTATTATCTCTTATGTATTTACCCTCGAAGATTTTGCGATTTATTAAACATTTCAGATGAACGCCATCTTCCTTTTGTTTCTTTCAAGTACAGTTCTTCCCAAACTTGACACTATTCGAGATACTTGCATTTTAGAAATCAGCTGCATAATTATAATGTTCGTCAGTTGTTTATATGTGAAAGCATGACGACGTAGGCGGATATTAGGAATAATTTTGACACGAATTTCTAACCCTCTGGCAGGACTATCTGCTCATCCAAAATAAGGGAAGGTGACCTGATACCTACTACACCGAGACTGCACATCAGCCATCCATCGAAGACTACAAGAAGACCTGCTATTTCGAATGATGTGGATGGTGGAAGTAGACCGATGTTTAGTAGTTCAAATGATAACAATAGAAGACCAGGAAGTTCTAGTAGACCAGGAATGCAACCTAACAGGTAGATTTACAGAATTCAAATTCACTTTCTTCTGCAATGTAAAAATAATCGAAAATATCAAAAACAGACTAGAATTCGATTTTCAAACTATAAAAGTCGTGAAGATGATTTCGTAGAGTTCCCTTTGAATATAAATTCTATATCAAGTCACTTTGAGTAACAATGGACTACAACTAACGTTTAGTTTCCTAACATAATTATTTTTCTTACAGCAATCATTATGTGACTTCTAGTTCAGTCAGTACCAGGCCCGATACCACCGATGCAAGTTACTTTGACAGTAATGGAAATGTCGATAGATTCAGGCCAAATAATATAGGGTAATTCAAAACTTTTTTTTTTCGAATATAATTCCAAAGCATGGGCGCCATCAGAAAAACATTTAGGTGGGGCGTTTTTTTTTCAATTCTAAGCATTGCATTAAATATAAATTAGGATCCTTCTGATCGATTTCCACTACAAAGGTGATTTCAAAAAAACAACGAAAAGGATATGAAGTAGGTTAAGTAGGGTAGAAACTAGACCAACAGAAGCTATCAACAGCGTATTTCTTGAAGGAATAAGGAATCCTCAAAATCTTCCATTCATCCATTTTGAGCTTGCAAGGTGATTCTTCTTTTTGCTTTAAAAATGTATCTTACTTGTTAATGCGGAAGCTCTGGACAGCATCAGGGGGTGGAGGGTAACGAGAAAGCCGACATCCTCGCCAAACAGGGAACCGAATCTGTGTTCATATAGGACCAGAACCATATTTTGGGGTCACCGCAAGTGCGGCGAAAACAACTATCTCGGGCTGGGCGGAGGGAAAAACACCCACGTATACTGGTCTGAATTACCAGGATTAACCCATTCGAAGGCGTTCCTGCCTAAACCATCGGAAAAAATAACCAGGCAGATCCTAGAATGGAGCAGGGGTAACCTGCGAATTCTGACTGGACTGCTTACGGGACACTGTCGTCTAAGATACCACCTGGGAAGGATGGGTCTGAACCAACAAACGGACTGTTGGTTCTGTTGTGTGGAAGACGAAACGGCTGAACACATATTATGTTCATGCTCTAGCTTAGAAAGACAAAGGTTCGACACATGTGGCTTTACCAATTTAGAACCTATCGATTTCAGACAAATCTCACCCAATTCAACCATGAACTTTGTAAAAAGATGTGGATTGTACGGTGAACTGTAACCTCTAGGGGTGATAGCCACAATGGACCCATCTGGGGTCGCACTGGAGGGGAGGTATTCGCCCCACTCACATGGAACCTAACCTAACCTAACCTAATGCGGAAGCTACATACCAGAAACCATTCTAAAGTCAGATACCCATTGTATATTCATGAAACAATCATTGTTTTAACCCAACCCTTCAAACAATGATATGATTTTTTTTCAGGAATGGTAATCATGAACAAACTATTTCTAATCAGTCGCCATCTCACAATAGAGAACCCATTTCTTCAAATTCGGGGTAAGTGAATATTCAACAGGAAGAATTTTCTAAATATATTCGTGTTCGATAAAAAAAATCCGGTTATTAATTGAAGCTACAGTGGTATTCGGTAATATGTCACACCGAAATATATTATTTAAAAAATACTAGGATAAGATAACGCTAAATAAAATACAAAATACCAAATTTAGTTACGCAAAATATTACTAAGGCAGCTGGTGGAAGTTCATATCATTATTCTTCTTGACTATACAGGGTGTTTCATAATATATGAGCAGGACTTCAGGATGTGATTGCTCGTTCAAAGATATGAAAAAAGTTTTTATTGACTTACCCTCTGAAATGCACAACTTTCGAGATACAGGGTGTTGAAATTTGAAAAAAAAATCGTTTTTTGCGAATATTTCTGGAACCGTTTATCGCACAAAAAACAGCTTTTGTAAGTATTTTGTACTTACAATGAGCTATGTTTTGTGCGGAATTTTTTGAATATCAAGTTGAAATTGGTGGAAATTTTGAAGGGATAAACAGTATTTCAAAATTAGATGCCGATGTCTATCATCATAATATCGTAGTAATATTGGTAAAAAGGGGAATTGAGCAATAACGGGTTTTCATTGAAAATGAAGGGCCACGAGCCCTGAGAACACGCACTTATAAAACCAAATGTCAAGTCCCAGAAGGGAAAACTTGACGAGCACTCAATGATGCTTATAAAAACCATATTATTTGCCTAGACCATTTCACGAAGCATTATAAGCATTTCTAATAAAAGAACAAGTCATATAAACGAAGCGATTCATTCTGACATCTACAGCTATAATTATTTTTTTTCCTTTGCTATCCATGGTTACATAGTATATACACAAACGCTGTTAGACAAATCAGAATTAAAAGACAGGTAGTGTTTTCACTTACAATATCACGAGAGCTTCAATTATTTCCGGAAATTTTTTCGAGAACACGTATATTTTGGAAATTTTCTAAATATTCGTGTTCGAGAAAAAATTCCCGGATATTAATTGAAGCTGAAGTGGTATTCGGTAAGAAAATTCACATGTTGATGGTTGTTTGTGATGAAATGTAAGAACTAACGTATAGTAACATGTGTTCTTGTAAATTTCGAATTTGCAAGTATACCTACATAAATGGCATTTAACCTATGAACGTCAAAAAATTTCAAGTGTAATTTCATGCTCCGTTTCCCAAGGAGGAAAACATTTCCAAGACATTTGTTTAGTTGCTATGGTAACGATAAGAAATACAGACTTTAAATTGAAGCTAGATATTCGTCTAAGTGTCACACATATTAACATGCAGATAAACGAATTGTTTTCAGCATAAATGGCTATGACTCATCCATCAACCAGCCAGGATATGTTGGGTAAGATATTTCAGCTCATTGATATAGTAGTATTTTAACAAGAAACTAAATATACAGGGTGATTCAGTGGGAAATGCGCATACAGTAAGGGTAGATGGGGGACACCGAAGTGCTTCTGAATAATCTATATTTTATGGGTCTATCGTACTTTATGGAAAAGTACCATTTGGGGACGACAAATTATTATCTTTTTCGAATTGTGTGCTACCTCATTATCGAAACATCTAGATTTGACTCAAGTTAATTGATAGAAAATTTGTATACGGAAACGCCAAATACATTCAGTCTCACTTATCTTTACCTGCTCTTTCCAAATTTGTGTCTGAAATCTTGAAATATTGATATACAGAGTGATGCTTCCACTCAAAATCTACTTATTATAAATTTTTTCAAGGCCGGACCTGGAATAGAACTTTTTTTATTATGTCAATCGTCACCACTGTGGACAAAGAACATACGAACTAAATATGTCCAAAAATGTATAGGGGGTTCATAAGTTATGATTAATTTGAAAAAATGGGGAACATGATTAAATCACCCTGTATCTTGGTTACAAACAATGATAGACCCATAAAATATGTATTTTTCGGAAACAACCCGGTGTCCTCCATTTAGCCTTACAGTATGCGCATTTTCCAACGAATCACCCTGTTATAGTACTGAGCAAACGATTTTTCAGAACAGGATATGGTGAACAGTCTGGCACAGTATCTCTCAACAACCAGGGCCAGAATTCCTACATTGGGTGAGTAAATGAGTTTTTTGTCAATTACAAACATATGTACCGGGAGTCTCAAATAAGCTTTTAGGCTACCGATATCTGAGTTATCTAACATACAGGAAATTTCAAAACATTTACATAATGGGACCAAGAGCTCTTCAAGATATTGAAGTCAAATTACCAATATTTTAGGATGAAAGCTACTAAAAAAAATATGTTCTGTAATAATATGAAAAAGAAATTGTAACTTGGTGGAAAAAATATTATTTCTAACGCCATTTCCGCCATTTTGAAATGGTTTGAAGAATGTTTGAATTCCAAAAAATATTCCTTACATGAAGCTATTCCAAACCTCTCCGTCAAATTTGGATCTGCAGTTTTTCGGAAATTACAGTTTATCACTGTTGAATTTGTTCTCTTAGTAGGTAATAATATGTATGTGCTATCAACCCTTTCAAGTTAATTTGCGAAAATGAAGGTTTATCGAACCTGTCCACAGGTAACTAATCCTTCAAGTTGGGAAAGTAGGATATATAAAAGTTAAGCAAGCCAAGGTTGGTTTAGTTCATTGTATATCACCTGACCAATGACGGCTAAATGGACTGTCTGACGGGTTATACATGACTGTTCATTCAGCGAAAATCGCCAAATCGCCCTGTAATGAAATTTTGAAGGGACGGCAAGTGGCGTCATCTATTTCCTGTGTCAAATGAGCTTTTCCAAAATCATTGACACAAACTTCAACACCAGAATTAACACCAGTGTTCTAATGGTGGAATCGAGGCTGAAATTGAAAATCATCAGAAAAGTGTATACATGAAAAATCATATCCTTACCAATGCCTTCCAAAATAAGATTCGACCATTCTTACTGTGGAGTTTATCATACTGGGTATGAGATTCGAAAAAGCAAACCCGATTTTGACACGATTATTCATACATTTCATTTCATACGCTAGAAGGCTGTAAATGATGAAGACACAACTAACAAACCTGAATAAATAAACTACCAGAACCTGAATAAATAAACTACCAGAACTAAACACAAAGAAGAATGCTTGATTGAATGAAAATCCGAAAAAGTAAAGGAATTTATCGATATTCAACAGAACACATATCAGGGACCTGACAGTGACACAGTTTTGACACTTGATAATAATAATAATTCAATATAACCTATGTTATTGGAAAACAACCGAATAAGAGCTAAACAAATGACTTCTCCGCAAAGGACGGCAAGTAAACCCCTCTGGTGGAGAATACACTGAACTGAGTGATTGGACAGTCATGTACTACTCGTCAGACAGTCCATTTAGCCGTCATTGACCTGACGAAGCTACTGTGTTAGCGAAACATGTTGTGTGTTTAAGAATTTTTTGGAAATCTTATATCGTTTGTGAAGTGTTCACATTTGCAATGAGTTGAATGAAGATATACGAAATTACAAGAGGCTTTGATTTACTTGACAACTTTCCACAAAGTTGTGAGTTTTGCAGATGATGTGTACCAGCGAGTACTCATGTCTTGTGCAAGAGAGTACCCAACTACCTAATTCTTGTCAGTGTTGTGATGTTTGACATCACATAATGGTAGTAGGTAGAACGAATTTCATGATATTCAACCTAATTATACATGTGTTTCAAAAAAACCTGACCTCCTAACTAGGGTAGGTAGAACATTGCAGAATAAGTTGGGTTTGCTCATTAAAAAAATGTCGTAACGGCATCCGTTTTCATCATACAAGGTGTTGAAAAAATTATTTTTTTACACATTTTTCACGATTATTCCGAAACTACTGGCACCATTGTAATAAAATTTTGTATGGATGTTTCTTGAAATCTGACACATTGCATGAATTTGTTTTTATATCTGACTCTCATAGAGGGCGCTAGTTACACGGTTCGTACCGGGTAGTTTTGAACATAACTTTTTTGAGGTTAGATTTTCCAATCCAAATATGATATGAACTTGAACATCATTCAATTTCACACCAAAAAGTTACTCCTGGTGAAACTCGATACTATGTTCCGTTTTCGGAATATTTCGATTTGAAAATAATGGAGTAGTAATGATGCTGGTATAAAATGAATTTTATTGAGTTCAATTATTCTTGTGCTGAAGTTATTGATGGAACGAAGAATCATAAGAAAAAAATTTAGAGATATTTGACAAGAAACATGAAATATTGAATCAGTTAGAGTAAGTGTTCAAAATGTCCTACGTTTCGAGGATTACACGATTCTATATTCTTTTTTTAAGTATGAATTATTCTTCTGAACAGTTGAGGATCAGCTGTTAGGTCATTTAAGTGATGTTCAATTATGTCTCACAACTCTTGACGTGAATTCACCTATGTAGCATAGACTTTCTGCTCAAGATACAACAAAACTGTGTAATCCATGTTCTTAGTCAAATCTGTTTCGATTTCAAATCGAAATATTCCGAAAACAGAACACACTATCGAATTTCACCAAGAGTACCTTATTGGTGTGAAATCGAATGATGCTCAAGTTCACATCAAATTTGGATTGAAAAATCTAACCTCAAAAAAGTTATGTTCAAAACTACTCGGTACGAACTGTATAACTAGCGCCCTCTATGAGAGTCAGATATAAAAACAAATGCATGCGATGTGTCAGATTCCAAGAAACATCCATACAATATTTCATCACAATGTTGCCAGTAGTTTCAACATAATCGTAAAAAATGTGTAAAAATAATATTGTTTCAACACCTTGTATCTTGAAAACGGATGGCGTGACGACATTTTTTTACTGAGCAAACCCAACTTATGATGCGATGTTCTACCTAACCCTAGCAAGGGAGTTAGTTTTTTTTGGAACACCCTGTATAATATCCCAGCAAAGAGTTGGCAGATTTGAATATATTTATAATATGCAAGGGGAAAGAAAATTGGTTATCACTTCATCATAGAATGTCAGAACAACAGTTTCATATGATTGCACATATAATTGAATTTTTTTTTGGTAACAGCCGTAGTGGGCATATTCTATGAATATTTTTGCGCCTGAGTTGGCAGTGCCTCCAGTTTAAATTGCCGTTTATGATTTTTTGTAGAAATCCTGAAGGAACAGGTGACATCCAAGGTGTTATTACCAGACCAGTTCCAACAAGACCTACTAGGAGGCCTACTGGATCCAACAATAATGGGTAGGTACCAAGAACTGATATTTTTAACGGAGCGCAGCTGCCATTCTCGCGAAATCTATTGCAAATTTCCGCACAGGAAAGTGTAATTTCTCAATCATTTGGTCACGATAATGATTGGCATAGGTGCCGTTCGATAAACTACAATATGGTTTAACATACGTTTGAGACACACAGGGTGTCTGTAAAAGGTTGGGACATGGCTTGGCTGTGGACTCTTGGGATAAAAACAAAGTTGATTTAGGCCAACTTACCTATATACAAAATCGTCTCGTTGAGTTGGTACAAGGCGTTGAAGTTTTCTTGGAAAAAAATAATTTTGCTAAGAGTAGGCTGAGATCGATTTTCATAATTTTTGGCATAGCATGTTCTGTGACTGTAAGCCGCGTTTTGAGATGTTTTTGATCATCATCAGTGCCCTGCTAGTGTTTCAAACAACCATGTTGCCGTACAAATTTGGTGAAAACTTCTCGGAGGTCTGACTGGAAACTTCCAGTTTTTTTTTTCAGAAAGATATTTCCTTCAGAAATATTTTTTGTATCGTTTAAATTTTTGATCTCTCGAGGTTCATTTGCAAATAAATAATTTCTGATATGAAGCATCCTACGCATTTTTGAAAATTAATCTAATTAGTCGGACTGTTTATTGATCATGGCTACAATATATTCTTATTGTAATCAAACTGATATGTTGTTGGTCCTCGCGGGCTTTGCAAGAACTCTCGCGTTACAAATTTAGCGATAACAATTCAGGACCTAAGTTGAGCACTTTAACGCCTTGTACCAACTCAACGAAACGATTTTGGATACAGGTGAGTTGGCTAAAATCTACTTATTTTTATCCCAGGAGTCTACAGTCAAGCCATGTCCCAACAAGATTATTTTTCTAAAAAATGCATAGGATGCCTCAGATCAAAAATTATTTATTTACAAAAGAACCTCAAGACTCATCAGAATCAGAATATTCTTTATTGTCAGAAGAAAAAGCTCTTGTAGACAAAGAGAAGATAAAACATAAGTACGTAACAATAATAAAAATTTAAAACAAGGTGAAAGATAAAATATGGCATGAGAAGGATCATCATGTGGTATAACGATTCACATTTCTAAGATGAATACTAAATTCATAGTAAGCCTTTTCAGCAAATAGCTGTTTGAGACTCTTCCTGAATATTTTATGATCTTTAATGTCCTTTACGTAGGTAGGTAGGTGGTTATACATCTTCAGTCCATTATATATAACCGAGTCTTTGATCAGGGTAGTCGATGGTAAAGGTAATTTTAGATGATTTTGTTGCCGAGTTATATGTTCTGTTGAATTATTTTTTAATTTTGTTTTATTTTTATGAATGAGGCTGAATGATTCTACAATGAAAAGTGAAGTGAGAGTAAGAATACCTTGACGTGCAAACAAAGGCCGACAAGATTCTCTAAATTTTGCTTTACACAGGTACCTAACGGCTCTTTTCTGTAGAGTGAAAATTACTTTAAAAAGTGTTTTTCTACAGACTCCCCAGAAGGCAATGCCATAGCTTAGATGGGATTCTATAAGGGCATAATAAGCATCAAAAATTAACACGATACGAAAAATATTTCTAACGGGAATATCTTTCTGAAAAAAAACTGGAAGTTTCCAGTCTGACCTCTGAAAAGTTATCACCAAATTTGTACGGCAACATGGCTGTTTGAAACACTTGCAGGTCACTAATGATGATCAAAAACATCGCAAAACGTTACTTACAGTCACCGAACATGCCATGCCAAAAATTATGAAAATCGTTCAGCCTAGTCCTTTTATGAGCAAAATTATTTTTTTCCAAAGAAACTTCAACGCCTTGTACCAACTCAACGAGACGATTTTGTATATAGGTAAGTTTGCCTGAATCAACTTGTTTTTATCCCAGGAGTCCACAGCCGAGCTATGTCCCAACCTTTTACAGACACCCTGTATATAATTTCGTTTGCAGCCGGCTCTTGGAATATTCGGCTACTCTGCATCGGATAATATTTCGTAAATAAAAAATTTGGTATTGGTACGTTGGATGGTGACAGATGCGCTGCAACCTAATTAGATCTATTGTGCCCCATCTGCTTCTGCTATATCAAGGATTTCTTGTTCATAGCAGCCCCTCAAGAAGCAATTCCTGCAGCTGGTGTGTTCCCAGTATGTTCAATCTGTTGTGATGTACAGCGTCACACTCCATCAGTATGTGATGGGGTGTTTCTGGTTCTTCTTCACAGAATCTACGAGTGCCGTCCTCCTGTAAGCCTAGCTTCCTTAGGTATTCTTTGAGTCTGCAATGCCCCGTTAGAAATCCCGTTATTGCTTTAAGACTTCCTTTGCTGAGGTTTATCAGTGTCTTAGATCTTTCTCGGTTGAAATTTCCAAGGAGATCTTTAGCCTGCCGTAGTCCTGGAAGTCTTCTCCATTGTCTGGCTCTCAAGGCTCCTTCCGCCTTTTCAAGTTCTCCTTGGAAATAGGAATTTCCAAGGCCGCAGGATGGCTATGGTCCGATCAGTGGCGCTGAAGCCCCTTGTCGTGCCAGAGTGTCTGCTTGTTCAATCCCTTCCACTCCAATATGCCCTGGCACCCAGAGGAGGATCACTTTATTATTGTTGCTGCCTAGCTCATTCAATTTGCTTAGGCATTCCCATACCATCTTCGAGTTGATGTTAGAAGAGCTCAACGCTTTGATGGCTGCTTGGCTATCGGATAAAATCGCGATGTCCTTCTTCCGGTATTTCCTGTCTAGGTTGACCTGGATGCATCTCTCTATGGCTTGTATTTCCACTTGAAAAATGCTGGGGAATGGGCGTGTACACCTCAGTAGAACTTTCAACTCAAACCATGTTTATAATGATCCTTTTATACATAAATAATGATTGACGACATAATTCGATCGAAAAATTAACTGGAATGTTTTATTTTTGAACTTAAATAATAGTACCCTCTGAAAACGGACCCTCTTATGACGTAGAAACCTCATCTCGCCATAGTTAAAAGAAAATACCAAACGCCCGACGGAGACTGAGGCAACTGATATATTAATTCTTTCAACTGTGATCTCGCGCTAATTCACTATGTCAGAAATCATGTATCATTCATATTTGTCTAGAATAGTCTTGTTTCAGTATTAGGGTTCTGACGTCACATCATCGCCTCGTTTTCAGAGGTCCGAAAAATTGGGGATTTCAATAATTTTTTATAAAACGTAGGGAGCTCACAGCAAGAAACGGTTTGCGGTGGTGAGCTAGTTAGGGTGAGTTCTATCGAATTATGTAATAAAAATTTTTTGTGATATAAGCCCATTGTCCCATGGATTCGAAGTATTTGGTGCGAGGCCCAAAGACCCCTGCTCCAGTTCCTTCGGGTGTTTTAGACCCGTCCGTATACCAAGTAATGGTGTTCCTTCCCATCGCTTCGATGGATTCTATGCTCCATTCGCGCTTGTTAAATAAAGCTGTAATATGGAAGATACTGTGAAAACGAGTGATTATGATTGCACGAAAAATAATTTAAGTACTAATTTATATGTCAACTCAGGCCTTCTACAGACGAACCATCCTACACCTATCCAGCCGATTTGGATTACTTTCCCGGTGATTTTTCGGGCGTCAAGAAACCAGCCCATCATCGACCATCCCAAAGCTCAGATAGAACGTCCAGCTCAGACAGAATGCCCAGTTGTGGAACTATCGCTACCCATGCTGCTCCACTCATATCTAATGGCCAAGACACAATACCAGGTAAAAATGCAAGGAACATTTTCTATATATTCGTATAGGCCAGCGTAGCCTCGTTATTAAAGCGTTAATGTTCTATCCACGTCGGATTACCGGTAGAGGGTTCGATTCCCACCACGACCGCAGAAATTTTTCTGATGGCCTAAGTAAGTGTTTTGGATCACACGTCAAAAGTTAAGACCCCCGTCATTCCTTGCTCGCACAAGTCTCTTGAAGACTTCTGAGGGTTGCTCGTAAGGGGGCAACCGAATGATGGATAAGAATTTTTTTTTTTAATTGATATGATCTATGGAGATCTGTTTTTATTGAAACCTAAATAATGATTATTGAACGAAATAAATGTTCATCGAGAATGAGGCACTAACATAACCAACCATTCAGACATTTATATATACAGGCTGTTTCACGGTGGACGTTTCTGTAGAACGCAACTCAGGATTATTCTGAGAAGTAGGTGGCTTGATTAATTAATTGTGTTCTATCGACCTAAAATATTCTCAGCGTTGCGACGTTGCCGCTTATATTGAAAAGTAGCAACAATTTTGTTTTTTCTTATAGGACACCCTGTATATCATTCCGTTTTCTGATTCTCCCTGAAGAGCTGATTTCATCGATCTATCATACTTGGGGTCTAGCGGGAATGATAACAAAGATATAGGGTGTGAAAAATCGAGATTTTTCAACTTTAAGAATTTTTTGTGTCGAAACTATTCATAATTGGTCAAAGCTTTCCTGAGTTGCGTTCTCCAGAAACGTCTAATATGCATCCAACGTGAATCAGCCTAGTGTATACAGTGTGTCCCACTTACCATGCTCACCATGGGTATCTTTTTAACGGTGAGAGATACGAGGTCGGTTAAATGACACCAAATGTGGAGTTTGTCAAGGCCAACTATAATGTGAAAAAATATTTTGATAAAATCTATTCGTTTTTGTTTTATACGCAAAAAACAGATTTTGATCATATTCATGTCTCCTCCGTAACTTCTTTATTTATGAAAATATTCAAATAGGAATTTCACATTCTCATGGCTGTTTTTCAAAGTGATTTAAAAAAAAATATGAAATTCATACCAACTCTCCTAGAATTTGAGATATCAGCACCAACTTTAGTTTTTCAAATGTAGGTCATAGCTCACTATGACTTAGTAATAAATAACTTTTTTTTCTTACAGATGATATGTCGCAGTTATAGCTTTGTGTTGTTAACAACGGAATTATCGTCATTTATACAGAAACAAAAAATTATTTGGAAGCCGCCATCTTGAATTTATGAATTTCAACAAAAAAATCATGATCTCCGACCTCAAAAACCCCCACTTACCAATTTTGAATGGAATCGGACCAAATCTTGTCCACCATCTTGGAGCAGCCATTTTTTTTAATTTCAAAATTCCATAACTCCGATTAACTTGAAATTTTGGCAGATGTTCATAATTTCGGTGACAATACATCATGGAATTTTTGCTGGAAAATTGAGCTAGAGTCCAACCAATTCCAAATAAATGAAACAAAATCAGTCATCTCCAAAGTGATGAAGAAAGCCAACATGGTGCTCATCAAATCTCTGGTAAGCCCAGGAATCATTAATGGTCACTAAAGATGAACTAGATATTTACTTGCCTACATCACCGATACCGTGTGACACAGAAGACATTTAACAGCCTATAGTTTTCTCATTTGAAGAGATACAAATTTTAAATTCACACGGGTTATATTATCAATGATGGCGCTTCCCTTGAACCCAATTACAATTTTCTTCAACCACCTGTTTGATTGAAAGTAGACCCAACTTTTTTTTTCAAATGGCACCCTGTATATTTCTGTAGCCTATCTCATTCGCCTTAAAATTCTCTATTCAACTATGTATCACAATTTGATATTCGTTCATTAATCGGCTGTTGAATTGCATTTTATTGAAATACATGAAGTTGGCTGTGGCCCGAAAACAATGACATTTCGATGCTTGATGGATGATCATATTATGGTTACATGGCAAGAATGAAAGACAAATAGTTTCTTCACAAGTGGCCAAATGAAAAAAAAAAACGAGTTTCTATCTCAGTTTTCTCAATATCGTGAGTTATTTTCGGATGATTTTTTCAAACTCAATGAAATTATTGGCAATCTTTTGGGACCGATTAGGGCAACGAAAATATTGATTTGGATTTGAAAGCTGTTTGCCATTTGCCTAAGAAAATATATAGATGAATTAATCGAAATCAGCCTAGAATATGAAAATAAAAGAATAGCTGCATTATTGACATCAACAGAAATTGAAGAAATTTCGAGTGGTAGGTAGGTATTTTTTTCTTTCCCATCATGAGTTTCAAGAAATTAGTGCAAACTTTCAGGAAACTTGAGTACCAACAGAGAATTCTTATTAATGACTATCCATATATCATCTTGCCATGTCAAATAACTGCGCTTTTTTTCAACACTGATGACTCCAACAATTCGATGCATCAGAGAGTGACGTCACTTCCATCAATGATGAAAATGTGGTGTGAACATGTCTATCATGACAAACCAAAATGTGTCTATGATTTTTTATCAACGCTGTGCTGTGTGATTCCAACCTCTTTTCAGACTTTCTTCATTGACTGGCCTTATAAAAACTGCATTATACACTGTGTCCGTAAAGTATGGAACAAATTCGATATTTCCTAAACTAAACGCCTTTTCAAAAATATCTGAAACACGTCAATTTTTGATTTTGATGTTCTACATTTCAACACTTAATTTCATTTTACAGTGTGATACTTACTAAGGTGATGACGGCATCGGCAATTTTATCAAATGTAACATCCTCTATTTTTTGACCTCGAGTATAATACCTTTTTGGAATCAGTTCAGTTTCACTGATCTAAAAATGTCACAAAATATAGGGTGTTACATAGAAAAAAATTGTCGATGGCGTCCTCACCTTTGTGTACCACCTTGTTGAATGAGATTTTGTGGTAAAATGTAGAACATCAAAATCAAAAATTGAAGTATTTCTGATTTTTTTGAAAAGGCTTTTAGTTTAGGAAATATCGAATTTGTTCCATACTTTACGGACACAGGTATACCTTATAAATACGTATCTAATATGTTCTATACCTTTCTTGTTAATGAACATTCTAAAATTTCTATTTTTTTCTCAGGACAGTGGCCTTGGCATGCAGCCTTATACCATTCCAAAGGTATTCAGTTGATATACATCTGCGGTGCAACACTGATTTCTGAAAGGCACGTCGTAACAGCAGCTCATTGTGTTACCAAGCCCAATACGGCGAAACCTGTGGATACTGAGAGTATTTTAGTATATTTAGGTAGGTACTAACGCTAAACGCAGTACCCTCGGGTATTTGTGGAACACCTCATTGTTCTCAGAATCTCTATGCGGATGAAACTATACAAATTTTATGAGATTTCTATTTCCAAGTATGATGAATATAGTGGTAGGATGGACAGCCATATTGATACTATATTCAGCCCCGCTTATCAGTTTCAGTTTATGTTTGTGCATGTAGTAGATCTGATGTATAGCAACTCCACTCCTTAATATTTTAGAAACTTTTTGACGTTTTGTAGTTGAGTTACCATTTGTAGTTCAGTTATATTTTACTCCACTGATTTGACCCATTAACAAAAGGTGAAGAAGTCCCTTTCTGTTTATTGTAACAAGCTATGAAAAAGGTCCATTTGAAACGCAGGTCATGAATATACATATACATATATTCACAAAGAATTCATTCCTACTATTTCATTATTCCAGCATTATCGCAAACATATTATGAGTAGCATATTGATGTTGAAAAGTCGTAAAATCTTTATAAATTGACGTTGACGTTCTGTTGATGCGTGTCCGTTTAGTAATAAACTCGGAGTAAACTGATAAAATTTACAACCAAACTTTCCCTACTCTGAGAATTGATAATATATCGAACGAACCTTGAAAGCTTATCGGAGTTCGAGACTTCATCATTTTCTTCTTATTTTATAGTATTCTAATCTATATGTTTTGTGTATATATCTCAGTAAGTACACTACTAATGTGGAAGTAAGTTGTTGGTGTTGATTATTGGTGAATAACGTGATGAGGAGGTAATCGTTTGTTATTTTTGATGATTTCGAATAACGAATAATTACATCAAATATTATTTATACATGCAAAGATCCATATGAAATGAATATGTGGCATAAATTTGTCTTTCTTTGGTTTCTCTGGAACTGCTTTTATTTTTAATCATTTTGATACATACATACTGATATTTACAGTAATGTATAACGACTTTCCTTTAATATATCGCTCTTACCGTTGTGAATATAACAATATTGAGGAATTCTGAGCGACTTGGTATTATTTCTTAGTCGTTGAATGTTCATTAAATTGAAAAGTCAGTAGACGTCTCTTCTTTCTTCGTGTTACTATCGCCTTGGATTAGACTCAAAGATAAAAAATCTTTTATATTTTCCAAAATCTGCAGGTAAGGGATCAAGGCATCCCGGCAAGTAAGACTATCGCTGACAACCATACGATATCTTTCCTTCAGCACGCTCGGTATGAAATGAATAGTTCACTTTATACAGAGTAACAATTAATTGAAAATGAGCAGCACTCAATATTTCCTCAACTGATGACTAGGCAAATTGAGCATGACACATACACACTTGAGGTATTTGTTGTAATATTATATTCAAACCCATCACCGTAATGGCAACTACTACTCCTGAAATTTTAAATAGCAACCGAAACTTATATTGCTATTTTTGAAGTTTTTATATGATTCTAGATAAGTTACGTCATACTTGTATTTTGTTTTCAAGGAAAATACAACCTGATTACATTCGGACCCGAAGTGCAAGATCGAGATATCTCGGATATTTTCGTTAATCCACAATACAACCATAGTTCATATTTCAACGATATTGCTATTCTCAAAATGTCCAGAGCCGTGGATATCAATAATTACGTTAGACCGTGTTGCCTGTGGGAAGATGACGTCAACCTGGAAACTATCATCAGTCGACAAGGTAATGTAAAAAAGTAATCGTGAAATTACAGAATTTTTGGTCATCTCGACTATTCCAAGTCAGATCTCGATCATCAAAGAAGCATTTTGCGCTCTAGATACAAAAATAACTATATTTACTTCTTTCAACGTAGCTATTCTCTTTATTTTTAGGTACTGTTGTTGGCTGGGGATTCGATGAGAATAAAAAGTTATCAAACAAGCTTATGCAGGCACAAATGCCAGTGGTGTCAACTTTGACTTGCATTTACTCGAACAGGGATTTTTTTTCACGATTCACATCTGATAAGAATTTCTGTGCTGGATTCAGAAATGGTAAGATTAACTGTAATTATTATTCAATTGATTTCTAAAATATATAAGCAGCGGTCTCTCTATGACTAAAAATGAAAAAAAAAATCATAATATGTAAAAACAGTTTATTGTTGGAGCATTGAAATATGTTTTCGTCTTCGGCTATAACACAAAATTGCTATTGTTTTCTGTGTTCGATACATCAATGAGGTACTATGTATGTCATCAATTTTATTTCCGTATCTGATAACACAATGATTACTTTGTTATTATTTCAAAAAAATCTCATCGCTCTGTCTAATACATGAGCATTACTTGAAAGGAAATCAGATGGCTACAAGCTGAAGAAATCGAAAATGCCGCTGTTATCTGTTACAGCCGTAGAAAAATTATAGTGTATAAATTCCCACTCGAATGATTGCAGCATTCGCCTATGGCTCATTCTGCAAACTTCATTCTCGTAGGCAATCACTATCGTTCCATGCTCATTAAACAATATACTATTTTTACGGCTGTAACACAAGATTGCTTTTGTTTTACTGTGTTCGATACGTCAATGAGGTACTTTGTGTGTCATCAATATTATTTCCGTATCTGATATAACAATGACTTATTTCAAAAAAATCTCATCGCTCATGGAATGTCGAATGTAAAGAAGCAATGCCAGCTCTGTCAAATAGATGAGCATTACTTGCCAGGAAATCAGATGGCTACAAGACGAAGAAATCAAAAATGCCGCTGTTATCTATTATAGCCGTAGAACAATTAAAGTGTATAAGTTGCACGGAATGCTCATATGCTGCAAATTTCATTCTCGTGGAAAACACTATGATGGGTAGCCTCAGGCACCACTGGTTAAGAGCTTGAAGTCCTTACTCTCGTCATGGTAGCGGTACGTGTGAAAGACCGCGAACGGACACCCATCAACCGAGACTGGAGGATTCCGGTCGACATGAGCTGGGCTTGCTCAACGAACAATGGAACTTTGGTGTACCTTGTGCCTTAGTTTCGCCAGGGAGGGAGCAGCCCCAAGCGATCCTACCGCCAGTCATCGTGTAAGCAAAGCCGGGTACTCTCTAAACGAGGTAGAGGAACGTGTAAAAGTCCTCGAACGATCACTCATACAACGGGACGTGAGGAATCTTGTGAACATGAGTAGCAATCAAGCCAAAGCCTCTTGCGATGGCGACCCATCAATCGTAACAAGAGGAATCTTGTTGACATGGGTACCTGAGGTGATGAGGATAGCCCCATCAGGTCGTACATTCGGCCTGATGCCTCATCAGTTGGGTTGGACTCCAGGGGGCAGCGGTTTCTAAAAAACACCACGGGACTACGGTCGAGGAGGTGAAGAAGAATCCCACTATGGGTCAAGTGGGAGGATATCTTGTCTGCCTCTGTTTCATCTGACGGTCTAACCATTGGTATAATGAAATGGTAGCAGGAGATGACTCTAGCGCGCTGATTTGGCGTATCCAAATCCTCCATTTCTCCCGGGGGGGCTGTCGGTATAAATCGAAAGATAGGTGACCGGCAGTCATCCCCTATGGGAGTCTTGTGAGGGGGGGGATGGGATTTGGTCCCACCCGGTTGCCACCCCACTAACATACCGATATAATATATGTACTGTTCTAACCGATGTTCACTGAACAAGTTCCTCGACAACAATGAGCTCTCGCCTCACTCCGCGACTGGTCTACTGCGCATCCAATTCACAGAGGCCAAGCTAAAATGGTCATCATATTTTTAGACAAGGGCGAAATATTCTCGGAACGATTGACGCTCTGCGATTAACTTAGATCAGTTATCGCGGCTTGAATATTCGGGAAGAGGACATTATTCCCTTTTATTTGCATTTTGTTTCAACTCGTTATCACGTGAGGTGGAAGTATGTCCCGAATAACGGCAGCAAATAAATAACTGTGCCCAGAATTAGCCTCAGATAAAGGGGGGAACATGTAGGGGTTTGAGATCTACCTTTCAATTGCTATCGGATGGCATAAATCTCATCAATCGTGTAAATTTGTGTAAATTACCGCACAATAAAAAGTGTAACTTCTCAATCATTTTGCTCAGGATTGTGATTGGCACAGGTGCTTTGGGGCCATATGCAACTGATGACAGTCGAAATTTGCAGCTGGCTCTTATTGGACTAATGGGATGGTTGAAATGATGAGGAGCACGTAAACATACAAAACGGCTCCCTCTACTGCGCATGTCTCTTGTCTTTGTCCGTGACGTGACACTGTGAGGTTATGAATGTTTTACATTTCTCAAAGAAGAATTGAACTTTGCAAGTACACCTCTATGACTAGGTCATCCGGGGACGTAGTCATTGTTTTTTCTTCAACCAGCTTGACTTTTTATCGATTTTTTGTTAATATTTCATGAGGAAGGAACATACACCTCTATGAGTAGGTCATCCGGGAACGTAGTAGGGTTTTAGTTCAGTGGAACGTAGTCATTGTTTTTTTTTTTCAACCAACTTGAGGAGACATGTGCAGTAGAGGAAGCCGTGTTGTATGATTACGTGCTCCTAAATGATGTACCAGCTATTCTGTATCCAAAACAAGATGTTTCGCCTTAGAATACATTATGGTAATTTCTATCTCTATTTTTCAGGTACTTCTGTATGCAATGGAGACTCAGGTGGCTCAATGGTATTTCCCAGAAGAGGAATTCAAGGCCAAACCACGGTTTGGCAAATCAGAGGAATCGTTTCAGTTGGCGTGGCACTCCAAGGGGAAGGAGTTTGTGATACTTCGCAATACATTATTTTCACCGACGTTGCCAAATACCTAGTTTGGATTCGACAGACCTTATTAATTTGAAATACTTTCACCTGATTTCTGACTGATCAACATATATAATTGTTGGAACTTTCAACATTGTTTTTGACGATCTCGAATAATCATTCCCATATATCACTCAAATCATGTCTTTGATAATATACCTAAGTAAATGTTTTTATTCAGAAGGAATATGTTTTGACTCGTTTCTAGGAGTTTTATTTGTAATAAAAAAGTGGTTTGAACTTTTTTTAAACTGTAATTAATATTCAGGGTATCCCAATTTGTGTACCTATATATATTAATTTTGAGAGGCGAAATATAGGAAACTTTTCTTCTTTGAATAAATGGCGTTGATTCACGATAGGAAATGATTAGCATGCCATTGAATATTTTCGAGTGAATCGATACAGAGTCCATCCATTAAATAAATTATTGAATCCTGAATAAGTAAGCAATTCTAGGAAATTTTGGAAAACAATAATCTATTTTGGATTTATTTGCAGTTTTTTTTCATGTTCTGGTTCCCACGAAAAGGGATATCCTGTAATGTTCAGAGAACGTCGTGAAAACCAAGGGAATGAGGTAGAAATTGGTGTTCTTCTTAAATTTCTGGAGGTTATATGTCTCGGCGAACATCTCCCTTGGCAATGTGTTCCAGAGCCTCGCTGTTCGTTGGATGAACGAGTCTTTGGAAAGAAATGTTCTGCAGGTCTCCAAAGTGACCACGAAGGGGTGCGAAGCCTCAACGGGTTAATCTCGCGTGGACTGCCAACGGAGGAACAATTGTTGATATTTCAGAAGAGCATCGTCCATGAAAATATTTATGAAATAGAGCCAGATCGCCAACTTTTCTACGGTGTTCCAGAAAAGTGAGTGAGTTTGTGAGCGAGGCATCACCTACAAGACGAATTGCCCTTTTTTGGACAGAATCCAACAGTTTCAGGGTAGGTATGTTTGGGTGCTGCACTCCAAATATAGAAACAGTATTCCGTGCCTTATAGATCATAAGCAGCTGACTGAAAGTGAAATAGCTCCTGGCCTCGTCGAGTTGAGGCTTCGCACCCCTTCGTGGTCACTTTGGACACCTGCAGAACATCTCTTTCCAAAGACTCGTTCATCCAACGAACAGCGAGGCTCTGGAACACATTGCCAAGGGACTCACTCACGCAGTGGCGGATTTACCGGTACGCTTAGTATGCTCAAGCTTAGGGCCCCGACCCTTGCAGGGGCCCCCGAGGGGCCCTGGCATTGCATGACTATTTTCCCATATCATTCGTTTGTATAGATGAAATAATGATTGAAATGAATTTCTCTTTTGAGCAATAGTTATTTATTTTATATACCTAGAAGCAGCGGCAACATTCCAAAAATGTTGAAAACCATAAGCAGGGTCCTGCCGATCTCATAGCGACAGTGGACCGGTTAAGGGAAAGAAAGTTGCTTAAATCCGACAAAAGTTCAATAACTTCCCCGATATGGCATTTTGCAAACTGAAAAAAAACATGTGCCGTTTCGATTTAGATAAAATATCAACAGTAAAAACAAAATGATTTTCTGTTTTTTCATTCCATTTTTTCAGGAACGGCAATTTTTTTTCATCTGCAAAACGTATACCGTTGAGGAAATAGTAATAATGTTCCCATGAAATCGGGGGGACCCTATATACTGAAGGAATGATGGACGTGTTTTTCAATGCAAAAATACGACATTGAACTTGTTTTCAACACTGCCATCAGTGACCAATTGCGGAGGAGAGCGTTTATTTTCAAAATTATCAATAATCAAATCAAATTGTGTACCTAATTCCGAAGAGAACATAACAAACTTTGGGAATGCTTTCCATCGGAAGTGATTTGATGAGCAGTTCGATTTATGATGGTGCAATGAAAGTATTCGCAGATTCGTGAATCAGAAAATTGGAAGTGATATCGAGGTATGTTTCTCCTAGTAATTTCGTTACGGTTTAGTTCTTTTATTTTGAACGTATCTGATCCTAGTCAGTGTTATAGTTACGTTCATTTTATTTCATGAGGCTCTGATTTTTTTTATTTGTTATTATATCCTAAACCATATCAATGAAATGCACTTTTTTTTGTTCTTTATATCCTATATATTTTCATCATGCATTTTTCGCTTCTATTTGGTCAGAAAATGTTAGATGGGAAAATTGGTGAGAAGAAATAACAGAAGGAGAAAAAATGATGGGTAGGGGCCACAAGGGCCCCAAGAATTATCAAGCTTAGGGCCCCAGAAATCGTAGATCCGCCACCCTTGGTGTTCCCCGAGGCATATAACCTCCAGAAATTTGAGAAGAACACCAATTCCTACCTTATTTCCCTTGGTTCTCACGAAATTCTCTGAACATTACAAGATACCCCTTTTCGTGGGAACCAGAACATAAAAAAACTAATATACCTGAAGTTCCCAATCGCATCTCAACACATGAAAGCTGTGCTGTGGTCTTCCCCTACATAGATTAACGACTCCCCTTAATCTATGGCCCCTACTAACGAAATAGTGACGTCAGTTTTTACTCGCGGTAAATTTTTATCCGTTCGAAAATTACCGTGGCATTATTGATGATTTTAGCACCTAAAAATCGACCGAAGAATTCTGAAAAAATATGAAATCGAAAGGTAATTGAGTGATGATTCTATTTAAGAAAAAAAAAAAGTCCACTCGACTATTCTGCTAGGAGTGTTTTTATGTCTACAACTTGTCACCAAACAATACAGTACCTATACTCATACATGGGATCCGGCAAAGAAATAATGAACACTCATTACTTTATAATCTGGAGGAAATATTCAAATAGCGTTCATGGATCGTAATTTCAATTAGGTACAAAGAAGAACCTCTAAATTATCGGATTAGTCTTATAAATATGATAATAACTTGTTTTCATTTCATATTGCAAGATGATAATCAAGTATTGTGGTTGGGTTTTGAGTAAATACCTTCTATACAAATTTCTTCTTAGCGATTAAGTGGAATGGAATGAAGTCTAGTGAATCAAAATCGATAGCAATGTTATAGAACTCAACTCACTGATAGTTGTGAATAACTTCCCTTCTATATCTGTGGAATTAACTATATATATTCATTAGGGCAGAATATTATTTACTATAATGCAAATTCAAGTGATAACCTTTCAACCAGCAAAAATGACTAATAATAATTAAATAGTTATAATCTTATTTTGATGGAAGGAGATGATACGACTGGTGAAAATGGTAAGTAAGATAGTGATATTGGTACCTGATTATATTTCATACAAGTCAACCGTGTTCTATTGCTGACCGCAAATGTTTTTTGGGGATATTCTTTGATGGAACACATTATATGATCAACAATAATCATGAAAGCCCTGCTTCTTTTCATGTCTACATAAGGATGCTGTTTTCGCATCAAATGATCTCACAAGTTAAAACATTTAGTATCAGTACCTAGTTTTCCTGTTCACATATTTCCATTATTTTCCAGCTTTTCGTTTTCTTCTTATTATTTATAGCCATAGAAATGGTTAATGGGGATATAGTATCGCTATGTCCAAATCAATTTGTTTTTGAACCCGAAAAATCCGAAGATGACCGATGGTACGGAATCATTAAACTAAAAAGTGAATTCGACATAACAGGTGTCATCTTAGAGGTACATTTCGACAAGTCAGTAATTGAATTTGGGGTAAGTCATAAATGAAATGAATTGATAACTGCAAATAAATCAGGGGGTGATTCTTTGTCATATTTTATGAAAAATTATGTCTCATAAAATCTTGTAAACGTTGATTTCATGCAATGATCACATTGTGCTGTTGTAGAATGCACAAAAAATGCAGCGAGAGACGAAGGAATGAGATTGTTCAGGTAAATTGTGATCTAAAATTATATTAATTACTCTAGTCACTCACATATAGTTTTCATTCAAAACATTTGTCATTATTTTCTCTTTAGAATGCCTTCTGCCACTTCTGCAATAGAAGCTAATACAGTGAAAATGGACAGGACCAAATTTCGTCAGCATTTCAGACCAGTCCGTCCGTTTGACTGCACGATTCCAAGCCTCTTGCCTTATTATAGTCTTCCTATTAGCTCCTATTGCAGAAGAAATTGCATAGAAAAATGCAGAAATTTCAAAATGAAAACTATGTGAATGACTACAGGAGCAATTATTTACCTACCTGAAAATCAATAAATGTGCACGCGCCTGATGGATTATTTTTTGCGCTCTGTCTCTAGATGGACCATTTCAGGTACCTAGTATTGAATTCGTGCATTTTGGTTGCATACAAGACCAAAACGTCAATGTCATTCGTGGTGAAGTCACTGAATAGCAAAAAATCTGAAGGGTATCTCTCATGTAGTAATGAATTTGCGCCTTCGAAGTGCCCACCTGATGTTAGGTTAGATATTTGTCATCTTCATTTCATCATCTGAATAATCCGAGACTTGTGTGTCCCAAAAGACGTATTCTAATAATTAATATCTAAGGTGCCAACGTATAGAGTTTAATTTCTGATTGTTGGATATTTTGTGTCCAAAAATCATATCTGGCAAAATTCATTTTCTTACCCGTCGTAATTTTTTTTATGAAAAGTATCCTATGTCCTTTCTAATACATATAAGAATATGTATACACGATTTTATGATCATTGGTCGAGTAGTTTTGGCGTGACGGCGCGACAAACAAACTTACATTTACATTTTTATAATATTATTAGGGATAGATAATAAGCCACTTTGGCACCATCAGTCAAGGACTCTTAAACTCCCCGTATTACAAATGACCGAATCGATGGGCGAATTGAATATCTGCTAACGATTTATTTTTATGTTTTATTTCAACCCGTACTTCAATTTTGAAACAGATTCTGACCAATGAAAACACGTACTTTCGTTTTATCGCTTGGTGCGCACCAAAGGGAATCCCTATAATTTTCTAAGAACGTCATGCGTATCTAGGGAAGATAGGGAAAGGAAGTAGGTGTTGGAATTTGTTTCTTAACTTTTGGGGACTATAAGTTCTTGGAAATATTTCCTCAGGCAATGAATTCTAGAGCTTTCCCTTTCTATAGAGAAACGAGTTTTGATACAGTACTGTTCGACATATTTCGAGGTTGACAACGAGAGGATGTGCAGTATCAACATACTGGTTTCCGCTTTTCTAGAAAAAATGCAGGCTTGAGTTTTCGCGGCGTTGAATCAAGTGATCTATGGTTCCACATACTTGTTTCGACAATCAATCACAACGCATCCTATACCTATAAGTATAAACATGCCGAATATAGTGAAGGAGTACACCACCAGAAATTTCTAATTGAGCAAAAAGTGTCTGATAACGAAATCAAAAATAGAATGTTTGACAAATTATACAGGCAATTCGGAGAAATACAGAAGATATTTCATCTTTATCGGAAAATGTGTTTATGAATTCTTATTTTTATTTTATCATTTATTGGACGTAGAAAAAATAGTGTAGGTATGCAACGATTATGTAATGACTATTAATAGGTAACATGATCGTGCATAAACTACTGTTTTAGAACTACTTAGGTCAAGTTGATGCAAACGATGATAACACCCAGTTTACAATAAAGAATAAGAACAAACGTATCAACGCTCATACCACAGAAAATGTTAGAATTTTTGTAATCTACCATCCTTTATATGATGTCGTGCCACCAAACTTATCCAAAATTGTGTTCAACGGTAGAGAAATATGTCCACATTTTGAGGAGCAAAAAAAGAGAACTGGAGTTGAAAACACGTAAGTTATTTATCATGAATTCTAATAATTTCAAAATTATTCAAGAGTATATCTCAATGGTGCATCACTGAAGTCAGTGGCGTGTTTAAGGGGGGGGGGCAGAGGGGCCCGGGCCCACCCCAAAGCAGGCTACACTCTAATAAAAAACACGGAAATGTCGGTTCCTCCAGTCTTATTTAATATTTATTGAAATCTACCATTTAATTATTAATATATGATGATTGTTGTATGCTACACGGTATGAATATTTTATACACTGAAAAACTCTTCGAATCGTTAGTTCATACCTGAAGTGAATACGCGAACAGTTGAGAAGAAGAATATTATTCTCTTCGACCGCCGGTCAGCCTGACCGGCCAGCGGCGATTGTGTTTCCGTTTCCGTTCATATAATTGGTGGCGATCACGTGGCTGTCAAATGATCAGCGTTTACTGTTCAGAGTGTTCAGTTAGTTGTAGACTGTAGAGTCGCTGAGTTAGGTAGTTGGTGACGATGGTAACTTTTACATGAGTAATCTCGAGTCATATTAAAACAAGAACTAAGAGCTGAAATAATACTGTGGCAAAAAAGATGGACAAATAAACCAGATTTGCCATCTACAGCAATCGAAGCACTTTGTTTTGGGGCGAGTTTGTTCCCTGCAATAAAGATTTTAGTGCAAATATTTGTGACTACCTGTATCAACGGCAACAGCGGAACGGAGCTTTTCAACCATAAAGCGCTTGAAAACCCACTTGAGGTCAACCATGGGTGAAGAGCGTTTGAATGGTCTAACTTTACTTAATATTCACAAAGAAGTTGATTTGAATATTGAAAATGTAATAAATATGTTCACCACAAGTAGAGCCAGACGAATAATTGATCTGAAAGAATTTATAAGTATGCTATTTTCCATGTTTGTTCATTGCTCAGCCAAAATAAAAAAGAATGGTTCTTCTGGTGTTGTTTCGTTTAATTATATCGGTCAATGTATCACGACAAATTTTGGCAACATTTTTAATTTTTGCCTCGGTCCCCCCTAAAGCGATATTCTAAGCACGCCACTGACTGAAGTCGAGCACATTTAACCACAGATTAACTGACAGTATCGTCTTTATGGCACAGAAGGCACTTCTTCGTTTTTCAAATTTGAAATATGGTTTACATTGTATTTAGATCTATATGCATTACGCAATGCTGTGTATTACGCACTTCAAAATAACGTGATCGTCTAATGACAAATTTATAAAATACTTGCGGACACATTTCGATAGGCAATCCGGTAAAAATATATTCTCCTATTCATGCATATGTTAAAACTAGATTTTGATAAAATACTTGATGAACATAGTAATCTTGCAGTCGGATCTCGTACTATTATTTAACCTGTGATTTTACTAAGACGATTTAACTGCCTTATAGTTACGACTGGGATGTATGCACGTGTAAACCCATTCTTTGATCGTTTTATAGGTCTGAACTCTCGATATCTACAATATTTGAATCTTATGAAGTTCAGCCAACTCTCAATAGCCTAAATCTTTCGAAGCACTCCCATCAAGTAATATGTTCAGATTTGTATTATTCGTTTAGTATTTTCTGCAAAACAAATTATGGAGACCAACTTTGGTGAAGAGTTACACCCTAGTAATAATAGTGTGGCGTCACCTTTCTTTCGGTTCCGAGAGGAAGTCAATTACAGGTTAAAAACTCATGTCAATATCATTTGTCCCTCAATCCAAAGCATTCTTCTGCAAATATCTTCTCAAAACGTTTTGAAGCTAGCGAGTCTTAACTGATTATGATATTTTCAGACTAACGAGTATTGCGTTGAACATAAGTGTACCAAAATGTGGAATAAGAAGACCAGCAACGACACCTTTGATAACACTAGGACAAAACACAAGACCTGGTAAATCATCTAATAACATTCATTTAGTTCACTGTTCCTGTCATATACCTTACCCACTTCCTTACCGGTATATTTCTCAATAAATACAAAAAACTCAAAGTCATTTCCACACAATGTTCATAAAATGAACAACAATGGCATATTTCGGGGGAAAACCAACTAGTTTTCTGGCTGAAGCCACGCAGAACATTGAATTACATCCTTCCGAAATATATGCATCGACTAGTATAAACGAATACTGATTCTTTCCTGAATGTCTATTGATTTCGATTTAGCCAGGTCACGCTAGACACCTACAGACCGGTTTCGAGCTCTATGACTCTCATCAGTGCAGGGCAATCTTTCGGGGGAAAAACAACTAGTTTTCTGGCTGAAGCCACGCAGAACATTGAATTACATCCTTCCGAAATATATGCATCGACTAGTATAAACGAATACTGATTCTTTCCTGAATGTCTATTGATTTCGATTTAGCCAGGTCACGCTAGACACCTACAGACCGGTTTCGAGCTCTATGACTCTCATCAGTGCAGGGCAATCTTTCGGGGGAAAAACAACTAGTTTTCTGGCTGAAGCCACGCAGAACATTGAATTACATCCTTCCGAAATATATGCATCGACTAGTATAAACGAATACTGATTCTTTCCTGAATGTCTATTGATTTCGATTTAGCCAGGCCACGCTAGACACCTACAGACCGGTTTCGAGCTCTATGACTCTCATCAGTGCAGGGCAGTCTCCAGCTAGCAGTTCAAAGACCGCCGACTAAGCGTAGCCTAGCCAAACAAAAAACAAGTCGGCATTATATTCCCTCAGAGGATTTATAGATTTTTTCCAATATCTGATCTAATTTTCATGACTGATCCTCCTAAGGTACCTACTTCATAATTCATCAACTTATTATAAGTTTTCTTCAGCGGTTGTCTAGTGATGAAAGTGAAAATGATTAATATTTCGACTTTCGCCTCATTTATTCTTTATCTCAGAAACTAAATTTTTTAGACTCATTTTCACGGTAATCTTTTTTTGCTCTTTCTCAAGTGCTTACACAATTTCAATAACAGAATGACACTATAGTTATTTTCCCAATAAGTGCGCAAATTGTAACTTATCGCACGCAAATATAGTTAGCCGAACGACGCGGAGCAGGGTTCGAATACGTTTTTGCGTGCGGAAAAGACACTTTGCGCACGTGTTAGGAACAAAGTTTTACCATCGAACTTCATATCAGATAGAAAGGAAAATAAAAAAAATATAACTTATTGAAAAAGGTAACTATACAACAATCACATATAACAATAAAATATAATAACAGAAAATCACATTTTCCCTACGAGCTTCATAGCAGATAACAACGAAAATTAAAAAAAAAAGAACTTAAATTACAATTTATTGAATAATTTTTAGTTAAACTTGATAGAAATAGCTAAACAACAAACAATTACATATCAATAAAATATAATGATAGAAAATTAAATCATTGAGGTGAAATACAAATATCGGGAAGAACGGTTGAAAAGTAAAAGGGATAACGGATAACGGCTTCTTATAGTGCATACAAGAGTCTACAGCAACTAAAATGAATATAAATGTTCCATACCAGTGAAATTTTTGGGTAGTTTTACTTATTCGCACGCCGTGTGGATAACACCCATATCCGCACTGGGTGCGGAAAAGTATTACTTTGCTCACGCGAATGAGTGCGGGAAAGTACTACTTTGCGCACGCTCGTAGGAAAATAATTTTTCAGGAGACTGGCCTTGGCACGCAGCGATATACTGGAAGTTTGGCAATCAAAGAAAATACAATTGTGGGGGGACCCTCATATCTGAGCATCATGTATTAACTGTGGCTCATTGCACAACCTCGCGGACCTCCCTAAATTGTACCATAGACTGTACCACCGAGCCAAGAGCCCTAGATCCTGTAAATATTTTAGTTATTCTCGGTAAGTACTGTGTTCTTATTTTTTTCGAGTATGCCCAGGAACTAACTGGATACTATCATACACAGTGATCGCCATGAAGTTGGTGAAATGAATGATGTTTTTGGAAGTTTAACAGTGCCGGGGGTCTTTTGGGTGCTATAGAACCAGGCGGCAAAATCTTCAGGGCGGCTATATAAAAATACCTCTGCAAATCTTTTGTCATCAGTCATCATCTGGGTATTTTGATTTTTTATACGCGAAAGATCTGATCACTACACTACCTACACTGAAATGTATGTTAAGAAGTGAATCATCCCAAAAAAAGCACAATTAGGAGAAAAAATACGGTAAATGTTCAACCACAAAAAAAAATGGCGGACACAGTGTTATATTTTGAGTTGCACTTGAAATTTTTCGTCGGACTTCCACCTACTAATCTTGTTCAGAATCATTTGACCTTCTGTTTAAGATAGTGTCAGCAGAGGATGGAAATTTGATCAAATTGGCAACTGAACTCCAAAAAAAGTATGTAGAGGATCTGGACTTTGTTTCTGATGAATGTTATTCATCTGAAAGTAAAAAGTTTTGTCTCCTATTATGGAATTAGTCCAAGTTCTACACGAGAATAATGTAAGATAATATCTTCTTCTCCCAATATGAATATTTGTTTTCAAAATTTTGAGCTAACAAATTTGTCTCAAATCAAACAAGATCTACTAAATGGAACTTATGTATAAGTAGAGCTTGTGAAGAGTATCATACATAGAGGCTTATTGCATTTAAGCAAGAAAACACATGTTTGTATTGTTACTTTATGTTCCTAGTTACGTAATTATATTTTCCATTTTGTTCATCAAACTTTTATAAAAAAAAAGAAATTGTGAGCGTAGAACTTCTATGGTATAGGTACACTGCTTATATGGTTATGCCGGTCTTATACAGTGTGAGCCACTTCTAATGGAACCACCCCTGTATCTTACGTAATCGTTGGGTAAGGGTCCTGAAATTTGCTGGCGCGAGAGATATACCAAAAATGCACTCTATGACCAAGTAGGGTCATCTTCAGTGATATACACTGCTCGCCAACAGCCATGAAACTACCCCAATTTCCGGAAAATGATATTAGGAGTAAAAATAGGTCGAAAATCACTTCAAATTTGGAATCAGGAAGCCCAATTTACTAACTATTCAAATTTTTCCTGGAAAATTTTCAATTCGGAAAAATGAAATTTTGTCGCATTTTTTATGGAAGTACCCCCGTATCTCACGTAATTGATCTTTGGACTTTCTCTTCCTCCGACAAATTTCAGAACCCTACCTCAATAATTACGTGAGATACGGGGGTGCTTCCATAAAAAATGCGACAAAATTTCATTTTTCCGAACTGAAAATTTTCCAGGAAAAATTTGAATAGTTAGTGAATTGGGCTTCCTGATTCCAAATCTGAAGTGATTTTCGACCTATTTTGACTCATAATATCATTTTCCGGATATTGGGGTAGTTTCATGGCTGTTGGCGAGCAGTGTATATCACTGAAGATGACCCCACTTGGTCAAAGAGTGCATTTTTGGTATATCTCTCGCTCCAGCAAATTTCAGGATCCTTACCCAACGATTACGTAAGATACAGGGGTGGTTCCATTAGAAGTGGGTCACACTGTATATGGTACGCGTCCCCCGGAACGCGAGTTTGCCGTTTTACTCCCATCCCAGAAAACGTCCAACGTGCTTTTAGAATTTATTATCACTTCAAAAATATGTCATGGAAAAAATCCGAAGACCTGAAATATTAGGAATATTTTTGAGTCTGAAGGGCTGCGCGTCGATCATAGCACCAGACGGCGAATTACCTTAAACCGGCACTGCAAGCTCATCAAGATTAGAGTTTATACAAGTATATTTCTCCTATACATTTCAATTTTCATCTAAATACTGAACATATCTAGTGAATTTTTCTTTTAGGCTCTCTGATAGGAAAATTCTTTGAACGCAGTGACATTTTGGAGAAAATCATCTGATTTGTCCTCACTACACGTATATTGAAATAATATACATATTTTTATTTTATAGAGGGGAGAGGAAATCCAAAAAAATCTGGAATAATCGATGTACAGTGATGCCCAATAAATTGGTAACGACTCTTGGGCGAATTGAAATATTTTTGTCTAAGCACATGTACTATTCATCGTCTAGAAACGAACTGCCTTCCTCATTAGCATTTTATGACCTGCTTCGCGCTGTAAAGGTATTATATAGGGTATACCCAGCAGTATACCCAGAGGTGTTATAATTATTATTCAAACTTGAAAAATAACAATGACATAGTTCTTTCTTGGCAACTACAATGAAATAAATAGGAATTGATCTGGACTGCTTCACAATGATTCAGTTTTGATGAAAACGATATAATAATATTATAACAAGAATCCAATCTTGAAATAAAGGGATTCAAGAAAATTTCAACAATCCACAATTGATTAATCAAACCTCTTAGCTCTCGAGCTATAGGGTGTTGGAATTTTCAAGCAAAAATTATTTCATTATAATAACTTCAATATACTGTCTACAACAAGTTTCAGGGCATATGTTCACATGAACTTTTTTCTCAAAATGAAGTAAGGAACCATATCCCTTATCATTAACCATCAATTAAATCACACCCTGTATAACCAGGAGAAAACGATCGATACAATTCTAATGAAATAATAAAGATACTACTAAACTATATAATTTCAGGTATCTTCAAGTAACCCATTCATTTTCAAAATTATGATGAGTTGAATGAATCTCTCAAAAATCTTGGGTAAATCCGAGGGTAAATCTGGCATAGCGCACTTCCGAATACGGAAAGTGAATTGAATAACCTTATTTCTGATAGAACACCACATTTTACAGATATGTTTGAAGTAGTTCACAATGATCGTTTTTTGGGGCACCTTGTGTTTTAAGATAATGAAAATAGGTACCGGTATGTTTCAAATGATCCTCTGCAAAATCCATCGATATTTTGAGTGAAAAACTGTCCCATAGTACTTTTTGAAATTTGGGTCAATGAAATTGGTCACCGTTGGCCATGAAAACAGTTCAAGAATGAAATCATTTTCTGGTTGGATGGGCATTTCGATTACCTATCCAACAAATACATTGTTCTCAGACTCTATCATATTATTATAGTAACAGGTGTGGTAAGCTCTTGCAGTGGACACACTGTATATAAAAATTATAATTGAAAGAATCTCTATCTGGCAATGAAATTCCAACCAAAATGTTCAAATGTCACTGTTGAAAATAATAAATTTTTAAAAAATATCAATGGTGAACGCTTCAAAATATGAATTGAAAAATATATAACGGTTTATATCATAGAATAATGAAAATGAGTCGAGATTATGAAAAAATGTGTGATGGTCCATTATGAATATGGAAGTATTACTTACTCCAGGTTCAATCGAAAGTGCTACGCTGTGGTCGAATACTGTCAGTATTTAGTATAGGAAGTTAAGGATACATTAGTGTATACAATAACTTTTCTCAATCGATTTGGCATGGATTGAATCACAAACCACAAATATCTATGAATTAGAGTTGAGCTTTCGAAGGGATTGGTCTACAAGTGTTTGTTAATTTCCAGGAAGTATCAAGCGACAGACCGACATGTATTATTTTTTCACGAATTCAAGTATTTATGGCGGATTTCCACCAAACAGACACGTCGAGTCGCTGTTTTGTTTCCGAAAATGGAAACTCCAACAAAACCGACAAAGCAGCAACATATCAGAAACGTTGTTGCAACTGAACGGACTCAAACAGATTTCTAGTTCCATTTACGTTTTCACTCATTTCCACTGGGCAGATTTCTTCATCACATCTTGGGGTGGAGGGTTTATTATGAATTCTCTGAGAAAGAACATGACCGGCTCCCGATTTTTAAATTTTTTATAGTTCCGTTTTTCGCGTTGGTACTGAGACAATATGATCTTTTCGGGTGTAGTTGTGTTGAATGAGGAACCAATTTCCTTGTACCATAGATTAGAGTCGTTAATCTATGCTTGTACGCATCCATTTTTTCATTTCGGTTCCCATAGCCCATGTTTTTGATGGGGTTCCATAAATTAGCATGTTCGAGGTAAGCTTCAATCAAAATGCCGACCTCTTCTGTTTTCCACTTTTTATTTTTTTCAGTCATATTCTGAAAGAGATTGGTAGGTATATATTCAAATGCATAATGAATAAATAAATAGATAGACTAACCATAAACACAAAATGTGCACAAACTGCAAACTGCAAAAAACAAGATACGTGTCGAGACCTATTTTCCCCCAGCCGACTGTGTCCGTAATCATACAAAAACCCTACCGCCATCGACTGGGACTCCGAAAACAACAAAAACTGTCGCCGGCAATTCCTGTTTTCAAAATGTTTCTAAAATGTCTCTGAAAAGTAGGAATTTGGTTTCGATATCGACAAGAAATTCTCTCTTCAGTCTCTTGTTGCTGTTTTGTCTGTTTGATGTATATTATTATTATTATTATACTTATAGAGAATCAGTCAGGATTTCGTGATAAACACTCATGTGAGACATCTATTCAGTTGGTAATTACTAAGTGGAAAGAACAGATTGAGCAAAATAAAATAGTGTTATCGGTATTTGTAGACTTCAAAAGAGCGTTTGAGACTATCAACAGAAAAATAATGATTGAAAAACTCAAAAAGTACAGAATACGGTGTGAAGCACTTGAATGGTTTGAAGATTACCTGAATGATAGATCTCAACAAGTGAAAATTAACAACTATGTGTCACAGAAGCAGAAGGTTGAATTTGGAGTACCACAAGGATCGGTACTCGGCCCAATTTTGTTCATCACATACATCAATGATATTGTGAATTGCTTTGATGAAGAAACAACAGTCAACTTATTTGCCGATGATACGGTAATATCAGTATCTGGGAAATCAGTAGATGAGGTATGCAATACGATGCAAAATGAATTGATAAAATTTGAAAAATGGTTAGAAGATAACTTCTTGTTTGTGAATACGAAAAAAACAAAAGTATTTGGAACAAATGTAGACTCAAAAACAGTTACTAAGCTTGCATTATTCAATGAAGAACTGGAGTATGTTTCTGAATGTAAATATCTGGGATTAATTATTGATAGCAAGTTAAAGTTTGATAAACATATTAGGTATACACTCGATAAAATTAGTAAGAGGATAAATTACTTTTATAGGATTAGTGAGAGCTTGTCGATGTTTTCCAGAGTTACGGTATATAAAGCCATTATAGCTCCCCTCTTTGAATACTGCCCCACCATTGTTTATTATTGTAACGATGGGGAAAAAAAAGAATTGCAGATACAACAGAATAGAGCTATGAGAATTATATTGAAAGTAAATAAGTATACCTCAACAAATGCGATGCTAGAATGCCTACATTTCATGAGTATAAATCAAAGACTGGTCTTTAATGTTGTTCTATTTATTTACAAAATATTGCACAAAATGCTTCCAAGGTATATGTCAGATAGAATCAAGTTTGTTAATGAAATTCATAAATACAACACTAGAACGGCTTCCAATATATATGTGGTAGCTGTGAAGAAGACATCAACAAAGCAGTCAATATTTTATAATGGACTAGTGCTGTATAATAATTTACCATTGTATATAAGATCAATTAATATGTTCAATGAGTTCAGAAGAAAGGCTGTGGAATATGTGAAAGAAAAGTATTAGGGAATGAGAAATAATTTATAAATATTTGTTTGAATGAAATAAGGATTTTGTAATCATTGTATATATATGTGTGTATATATATGTGTATGTATGTGTGTGTATGTATGTGTATATATGTATATTATATTAGATTTAAATATTGTATTGTTGTTGTGAAATGAGTAGCAGAATATTGCTAAATAAACTACTACTACTACTACATTATAGACAAATAGATCTCGGAAACTACAAATTGATATCAAATAGAGATGAAGAGTTGTAGTATTTAAACATGCAATGTTCATATAGAACGAATTGAATATTGTTTTATTATAATTTCAATGGTGTATACATGCATACGATATTTCATAAATATAATATAGGTTCGTACGTTCCAAGAGATGAAAAAATTACGTTTCGTTACGAATTTTGATTTTAATTCTACAACAGCATCCTACTCACGTTTGATATTTTGATTAGCAATATTATCATTTATTGAAATGAATATAATCATAAACACATTCTCCTCGGACAACATTCCTAATGAGATTTGCTGATTTTTGCTAGAATTTACGAACCTAATTACAGTGTGTGCAGTTGAAAACCGCAAAAACATCGTATTTTTCGGAGCGATGACCGCTCAGAAAATAAAATAAGTATGGTAGGTTTATAGTGACAAATGAAAATGGCTATATTTATGAGGGATAATCGACTATAGGAAAATTCTGCATCACAAACATATTATAGGTTATTCGAATTTGGTATTTTCATAATACTATATACTATTCCAAATGTTTCCTCACTTGAACTGGCACAAAAATAGTCGAAATATCAATTATTAATTATTAGTTATGATCCCAAAACTATCAACTTCTGTGATATAAAAATATATATCATACTTTCTCCACATTCAACGTAAAATCCAAGAATGCAATAATATTTCAGGTGCCCCTATAGAAAAAAATGAACTCATTTGTCGCAGCGCTCTTTTGAGACACTCCATATTATGAATAAATCTTAAACCATTGAATAGATTGAATCAATCCCCATAGCTTATGCATTCAACAGTTTTTGTAATACGTAAAATAAAGAAGTTACAAGGAGGGCGACCCCTACTATATATATACATAAGTAACCAGCTTGATATATTTCATTGTAATGTGAGGCAAATCAATAACTATTATTATCAGCAGTAATTTTCTTGTATTAATCTCTCACTTTTTACTAATGTAGTCCTATTGTGTAAATTGTGTATTATGCCAAGTTTTTTCTATTGTTTGATTCGGTTTGATTTCTATTGTTTACTTTGGTGCAAATTTTTACTTAGTTCCTGTTCTGTAATTGGAAATCTTTTTTCTCTGTAGAACAGTGTAAATAAATATTACTTATGAGACATTTAATAAATTTGTGTTATCTAGATTGAGTAAATTTGTGATATATTTCCTCGTTTTTTCCATCAAGAATAAATCTAATACGAGTAGTGAAGCTCATATAAAAAATGACATTATGAAAATTAATGCGAATGACTAAGTGACAATGACAAACTATCAATAAACGCCTTGAATGAAGGTAGCAGACAAATTGTTCATACAGATTGTCCAGAAATTACACTCAATACTATAGTGATTTTAAAAATGGAAAAAATAATCTATATAGTAATTGATCTAGAACTTTCTCTCCAATCAGAAAAGAATATTAATAAGCTGGGTGATTGATTAGTGTGATAAAGTGCAGTATCTCCTATGTCGTTTGAGATATCAAATTGTCAATTTGAGAGATTTCAGCAATGGATAGTCTTGATGTCTTGAATCATTCACAGTATTACAGGGTGACAGGACACTGTTCTGAATCAAAGTAATATTTTTGTGAATATAGGAGATAAGAGAAACTAAACTTCATCAAACTAATAAATCACCCTGTACTCCAAATTTATCTGCACGGTCTATCGAAGCCTAAGTTTTATACTTAGAAATTAGAATTTCCGGAAGTAGATAATCGCGTTTCAAGATAATAGGGTGTATACCGTTTTCTTATCGCGCATGCTGATGAGAATTAGTTCTTATTTCATTAATAGAAATACCATCAAATCCAGAGATACTCTAGCGATGTGAATATTTACCCTAAATCTTAGAAAATATTCAGAGATACACCAGACTATCTCGTACCACAAACCACAATAAGAAATCAGTTATTGAAACAGCGGGCGGTTGGAATAGATATTAGTCCGGGCGCATAAACCAAAATTTTAAAAGGATTTTCACAGGAGTCGTTACCAATTTTGTGGGCTCCACTGTACATACCGCACCTCCTCGATTAACCTACAGTCAGTATTTATTCCGAAATTCTTTCTACGTCCTGTATGATGGGTATCAACTTGTCATACATCCAAATATTCATAAATTTTCATACCATCAAATGACAAATTTCATTTTGTTTCAGGTAAATATGGTATTTATATAATTAACGGCAGTAATGAACAAACAATAGAAGCTTCTAAAATAACCGTTCACCCCCAGTACAGCAGCAGAAGCCTATTCAACGATATTTCCATCATACATTTGAAGAGACCAGCACAAATGACGAATTTTGTGAGATATATTTGTTTATGGAATGATGATACTTCGTTGAGCTCTCTTATTGGAAAGATAGGTGAGAAAATCAATTCGCGGACGTTGAACGCCTCGTGGGGTATAAATGCTGAGATGCGTTTACGTTGAGTCAGGTTCGCACCAGATAGCGGTCAAGAATGCTATCTGGGACAGCCCTGCACTGATGAGAGCCAACAGCTCGAAACTGGTCTGCAGGTAGTCACGCGTTCCTGAACCACTTAGGCGCAGCTCGGCGTTTAGGAAGGAAACACGATTTTATTCGTCTATACGTAATCCATTGTTCTGCGTGGCATATAGCCAGGAAAGTAGGTAGTTGTTTTCTCTCGTTTTCTACCATTTTCGTTCATTTTATGAACTATTGTGGTAATAACTTCAAGTTTCTCTCTTTTGTGATCATATACAGGGTGGGCCACCAGTAGCGCCTCGGTCTCTAGAAGGCTAACCACTCATCTTCTTGAAATTCTTCCTCTCTAGGAAGTTACATGTCAACATAGGCTACCATTTAAAATTATTTCGAAACATACAGGGTGTCCCCAAAAACCATAAAACACTGAAGTTAAACTTTTTTATATCGAACACCCTATATATTATTTTATTTTGAGATTCACCCTGATGAGCTGATTTCAACGACCCATCATACTTGGGGTCTAGCAGTTATAATTACTGAAATATAGGGTGTGAAAAATCGAGATTTTCCAAGTTCAAGAATTTTTTGTGGCAGAACTATTCATAGTTGGTCAAAACGGCTTACATGTCCCATCTCAACTTTTGATTAACTATCTACTGATATTTAATTGGGACATATATACCGGGTGATCAAGATTCTGAATTCTGCACCACCCTGTATTTGTTTCAATTAAATGTCAGTAGATAGTTGATCAAAAGTTGAGATAGGGACATGTGAGCCGTTTTGACCAATTATGAATGGTTTAGACGCAAAAGATTCTTGAACTTGGAAAATCCCGATTTTGAACACCCTATATCTCTGTAATTATAACTGCTAGACCCCAAGTATGATGGATTGTTGAAATCAGCTCACCAGGGAGAATCTCAAAATGAAATAATATATAGGGTGTTCGATTGAAAAAAGTTCAACTTCAGTGTTTTGTGATTTTTGGGGACATCCTGTATGTTTCAAAATAATTTCAAATGGTAGCCTATGTTGACATGCAACTTCCTAGAGAGGAAGAATTCCAAGAAGATAAGTGGTTAGCCTTCTAGAGACCGATGCGTTACTGGTGGCCCACCCTGTATAATCCGAATAAATATACAGGGTGTTCCTTAATGATGTGCTGATATTCAAGGGACCGATTCTTCGACCCATTTCAAGAATAAAACTTCATATGAACATATGTCGTAAACGTCCTAACTTTTGAGATACAGGGTGTCAATGTTGAAAATATGCATAGATTATTTTTTTGTCCACCCTGTATAGCTTTTCGTGATGACAACATTCAGTCTGCTATGTGACTGAATCGGTATACAGATTTCAAAATGTTACATACGGTGGTTATCCAGTAATGGATGTCCTGAATGGAGTACTCAAACATTAAAATTTGAAGTCTGGTTTCGTTTTTCCGTTTTTTCTCATCTATAGGATTTCATGAAATTTGACAATTTTTCGTCGTTGCTCACTTTTGAGCAAGATATAAACAATAATTTTTCCATAACGGTGCCACTGGTTGAGAAAATGTAAATTTTTGAACATCAGAAAATGAACCTTGATGCATAAAAGACGTGTACCAAATTTCAAAAAGATGTATACAATATAATCTTAGTTCTCATAAAAAAACTGAATATTTTTGAAAACTTCATCACTCTATATCTCAAAAGTTAAGACTTTTAGGACATACGTTCATATTAAGTTTTCTTCTTAAAATGAGTCAGAGATCGCCCCCTCGAATATTAGCATGTCTTTAAGGAACACCCTGTATAGAGAGTAACTCAACGTCATCCTCTAGAGAGCTGATACTCCTGCTCATGACTGACCAGAATATCACAATATACAGGGTGTCCCATTCAAAAAATCAAAGTTATTGCTACTTTTCAATATAAGCGGCAACGTCACAACACTGATAATATTTGAGGTCGATAGAATACAACTAATTATCCAAGGCACTAACTTTTCAGAATGATCTTGAGTTGCGTTCTCCAGAAACGTCTAATAATGTGCCATCCACCGTGAATCAGCCTGTATATCCGAAAAAAAGTTCTTACTTTTTTCCAGAGGGAAAAATGGAAAAAAATGATTTATGAAAAGTGACATTTCAAAACCTGTCAACAAAGATGAAACTTCAAACATTTTGTTGAGGTGAAACTGAAGATACATAACATAATTGCTTCGATCACAGGATAATGCAGAAGCTCATAATCAATCATTTCCATTTTACTACCTAATGATCTTCTTTACTATTTCAGGTATAGCAGTAGGATGGGGTAGGGATCATCAGGACAATCAGCTCTCTGACCTTTTGATGCAAGCTCAAATGCCAGTAGTCGATACTTATACCTGTATATATTCGTTTCCAGAAGTTTTCGGACGATTCACAAACAACGAAAATAATTTTTGTGCAGGATTCAGAAATGGTAAATAAATTGTGGAAAACTTTTTTCAACATGAGATAGTGATAAACAAAATCGATTCTCAAATATTTGGAGATATAAGTATTGGAATTTGAGATCTGCTGATGTGAAAAACTTATAAAATTCAGTGTTATGACACAAATGGATGTAGTGTATACTAATGAAAATTTCCAAGTACCATTATCTTGAGAACAAAATAGGAAATGTTAAAAAAGCCAATACCAGTTATATAACTCGAATATATTTCCATACATAAAAAAACTTCCGAAATAAGGAAAGGGAATTCAGAATGACAAGTAGAATTGAGAAATTATATTTTGTTCTATTTGAAATTAAGTTCTGCATACTTTCGGTTTAAGCGACTGACGATGTTACTTTTAATCCGAACATACGTAAAAAAGCTAACTATTGCCAGACAAGGAAAGAGTTATCGGATCTCTCTATATTTTAATGCGGCCACATTGGTAGCACTGAAGAAAATGATGGAAGAGGAGAGAACTTTCTCTCGATCAAGATAGAAAAGAGTTGAATTGACCTTGGATAAACTATATCGGGTTTCTTATGGCATTACCGGTCTATAGTAGTTATTGTCGGTGGTAATAAAAAAAGGCGTTTATTTCCAACAGGTTCTACACCCAATAACAGGAAACACTACAAATAAATATCAGCTTCCGATTTATAATTACACTTTTGGCAGAATAACATGACACAAAGACGAGGATTAGATAGATTATATCTAAGAAATGCAGGATAACTAACCATAACATAAGGATGATCAAAACAAGATGTACAACTATTTATTAGATCTGCTCGGTATAGGGTTGACCGAGGGGTTGACAGAACGAAATCAGTCCCTCTGAAACATTCCACCTTTATTAACACTTAACACAATGTATTCTTTACAACGCTTCAAATAAGAATGAATAAACCTAAATGCCTTCTGATCGGATACAGTCATTTGTAGATAGGTGACTAAACCTTATGTAACCACTAACTGTAGCTCTGTGCTTCTAATGGCATCTGGCTAGTCGCTAACATATTTTACTAGTGCATATAATCTTACAATTTATTAATCACGTCTCTCAGTGAGTCATGATTAATATCACATGTATGAGAAATTTTGTTGAAGTTATCATACATAATATATATTGGAGATTTTATTATTCTTGTTCTAGTAGCAACATTGTAGAACATAAAAAAAGAAACTCTAAGTCATTACCACTTTGAGTATTTGGCTTTTTCCTAGTTTATTGTAGAACATGTTTGATTATCTACTGTTTAATCTTGGAATGAATGAGAAAGTTTATTTGTTTAAAAAGTACAGAGCAATCGATTTCGTTACGCATTAATTTGTAAAGAATGTCACATTCAGAATTATTCTTTCTAAAGAGATCATTCCGAAATTATCCAGAAGGATTTGGTTATCAATTTCTCTAGACGGGTAAGCTCCATACACCATCATCCGTAAATATTTCAAAACATTCCTTGGAATATTTTCAATTCGGTTTGAATGATATTGGGTTGTCGGATACCATATTCAAGTTCAGATCTTATATAGGAGTAAAAAAGAAGTTTAAGTGCAAATATATTTTCGAAATCTCCACGATTGCGGTAAATGAAACCTAACACCTTCGGGGCTGCAGACAGTGTCGCTATGATTGTTAAATGTGAATCTCGAGTCATATACAATACCCAAGTCTTTAGCTTCCTCATTTCATTTCAGTAAATTATTATTGATGAAATAGTCATATGGAATTACCATTTGTTTCTGGAATATGACATACTGATGCATTTAGATACATTTAAATTAAGACGATTTAAGTCGCACCATCCAATAATTTAGGGACTGTTGTAAGTCATCACAGTCATCCATATCTCCGCAAAAAATAAGCAGGGACAATTTATCAATGTTGCCATATCATTTATATAATTAAAAAGAGAAGAGGGCCCAAATTCGATCCTTGCGGCACCCCAGACGAGACTGTATAAATATCCGACTTGAAATTCGACAAATTGTTGCCTACCAAGAAGATAGTTTTTAAAAAGATGCAATAATCCATCAATGAATCCGACATATAATGATCCAATTGATCAAACCCTTTCTGAAAATCTAAATATTATAACATCAACTTGACCCCTATTGACCTCTACTGTTGTAATGTCAGCTTCCCGAATGACCCCCAACTACACAAGTGCAGATATGCGGGAGCTATATCTGGCATCCCCCCAATTCACATTACAATATACAAAATAATAATAGCAGTAATGATGTTGCTCACATTACAGGTACGTCTGTTTGTAATGGAGACTCTGGTGGAGGGTTGATGTTTCCCATGAGAGGTACAAGTGGACCAAATACACAATGGCAAATACGTGGTATGGTGTCAAGTACAGTACCAAAAATTGACAACACATGTGATCCCAACCACTATGTCATATTCACTGATGTTGCCAAATATTTGGACTGGATTCATAATATAACAAAATCTTGATATAATTCTGTAATCTTCATTTTTTGATTGAACCACCATTCAAAAGATCATGCTGGGAATATGGATTTATATTGTCTTCTGTCTTTTTGATAATTTCATTATAGTAAGATTCAAAATATTAGATAATATTATACAATAATTACCAGGGTAGATTGATAGACATTTTGGATCTTCAAGTTTCAAATTGACGCCCTCTATCCAAAATGTTCTCAAATGTGATTTGGAAAGATTTTAAAAATATACGGAACTGTTTTCCAGAAAAGGGTAATTGATTTTGCACTTATCATGTTTTTTTTTCGAAAATTTTTTTTGATACGTATTTTTGTCTGAAAAACACGACTTTGATAATGAAAATGTGAACAAACCATTATCTATCAAGATATTTCACTATAAAGTTACAAATTTCACCTTTTTTTCCGCCTGTCTTCTGGATCGCATTTAGAACAATTTGCCCTTCTTTTTTCATTTACTACTCAGAGTAAGACCCTTTATTTTTCCCAGAGACTATATTTATTATAATGTGATATTTTTCTTGGTTTATCCCTTGGTTTATCCAAGCATACCTGCCTAATCTAGTGCCTGATGGTCCATTCAACTAGAGTTCAACTTGACATAGACACATAGGAATAAAAACAAAGAGAAGTTTCTCATCAAAAGGCTAGAAAAACATTGATCATAATTCTCATATCTTGGGGTCTTCTCAGTATGAAGTGAAATAGAATATAGATTTCTACTTGAAAAATGAAACTGCAATTGTTATAATAAAATAATCTAGAGAAAATTATATCACTGTTCTATCTGATTCCAAGATTATACAACTTTGACCCCCTTTCTTTGCTCAAGTTGAACATTGATATATAATAATGATATATATTCAAAATCTCAAAATGGTGGAAAACAAATCAAGAGCTGATGTAGGTCAATTGAAAGGAGCTTTATCAGAATGGTAGGAAATCAATAATTATTGGTGGTCTCACTTCAGATGTGCACCAGTTTGCTTGGTCAAATAGTGAGTATTTTGTGTGAAGGTATATATTTGTTATTAAAAAACTCTACATCAGTTCATCAGTATTGGTTTTCTGTTTTATAAAGAACTAATACTTAGTGCAAGATCTAACAGCCTTTGATTTCAATTGTGAATTGAAAAAAAAATCATAATAGGTATATTTAATGGATTATTCAACTCAATATGAGAAAATACATAGCAGTATTTACATTTTATGGCTCATTTATTATTTAACTATAACATGACATAACTCCTGTCTCAATGTGAATAGACAAATCTACCTTTAAGAATTCTGTTCATTAGAACCCTTCTTCCTGAGGCTATTTTCATCCTAGTCACCCAACCATGTCTCTTGATTCGCCTCCTTTCTGAAGGTCTTGGAAAATGGTTTCTTATGACTGTCCTAGTGAATATGTTGAATATGCCTCCAGGATTTACAGCTGAAGCAGATCCGGACGTGATACAATGAAAGTTGTTGGAGGGTTGAGCAAATCTACTTCCTATGCTGGATGTAATCCTTCAATAAGATATTTTGAAGATAATGAAACTGCGATATTAATAAAGATTGGGAAATGGAACTTACGAAGTTAAATAACGAAATTTTGGTATGAATGTGGTAATGAATGACATTATTCCAGAATACAAATATAATAATTTCTTCAATTTTATGTGTGAATATATTGAGGTTATATTCGTCTTCCTTCTGTTTTTTGTTTAATGAGTTACGAGCAGGTCTTTTCTTCTTCTTGTTTTTCGGCTTTAGACCTTAGCTTAGACAAAATTGACAAAATTCAATGAAGATGGTAATAAGTAGATGGTGAGGGTACTCGGTCATTTTTATGTATTGAAACCCAATGAACTCAAGTTTACATTGTGTTCAATGTTGAAAACTTGAGAAAAAACACTCGACAGCTTACTATGATTTCTCTACGTCACATCGAGCGAGACGTTAAATCTACGTTTTTCCACTAGATGGTGATGTTGTGAACGCTGCTGTGACGAGTGAAAATAAAATGGCAAATCGCATTTTAGGTTCGCGGAAAATATGTTAAGAGGGTTAATTTTACTCGGAATTCGAGAAATCTGAGGCAATTTCAGAATTGACAGATGTCATGCATAGTTGTGCATTGTCGCCATCTATTAGAAGTTCGCCGAAACCATTGTTCTCGACAGGTCGAGAATTTCTGAATCGAAAGCACATCCATAGGTGTAACTTTGTGAGGTTAATGGGGGCGCTTGCCCCATAGCACTTCATTAGCTTATTTCCAAGTTCCAATATTTCGTTCGCCATTCTTCTACAACTGAATACAACTTTCATGGAGTTTTGATATCTTTGAAGTATTATTAACAGTGCAGCTTTCGTGAAGTATACTGAATAAATTTATTTTTACCCAAACTATATATGTGTAGGTATATTCATTATCTGAGCAATCTTCTGAGGCATATGTCGATTTTCAATCTCAATTTGCCACATTGATATTAGGGAAAATTAAATAATATAACAAGAAATTATAACAGGGTCCTGATTGTTAGGGTTAGTGATGTCCGAGACAATTATTTTTTCAAATGGAATATACATCACCATTTATATTTTATTAAATTTTTGGGTCTCCATGGAAAGCTGAATTCAAAAATGCATACATAGATCCAGCAAAAATAGTTACATCACAGAGATATCGCAGCGATGTAACAATTGTGACCTGCGATGTCGCATATAGACGTCGCTGCGATATCAGAGGGATGTTATTTGGTCCCACTCAAGTGTCATCCATACGACGTCGCTGCCATGAGTTCTCTGCGATATAACAGGAAATATTTCGCAATGTAATCGCGATATGTTATTTGTGATGGAAAAGCGATATGTTTTTGCGATAAAACTATAAGATGTGATATGCGAGATGACTTCGCAGTTAAACGAACAAAAAAACCAGTGTCTTCAAACATGGTGGTACACCATACTGACTTCTGATGACATCTAACATTGATTGATTTCCAGAATATTCTATGAATATTCTGACAACGTTCAAGTATACCTTTATATTTTGGAATATTCTTATACAGTGTGACCCACTTCTAATGGAACCACCCCTGCATCTTACGTAATCGTTGGGTAAGGATCCTGAAATTTGCTGGAGCGAGAGATATACCAAAAATGCACTCTATGACCAAGTGGGGTCATCTTCAGTGATATACACTGCTCGCCAACAGCCATGAAACTACCCCAGTTTCCGGAAAATGATATTAGGAGTCAAAATAGGTCGAAAATCACTTCAGATTTGGAATCAGGACGCCCAATTTATTAACTATTCAAATTTTTCCTGGAAAATTTTCAGTTCGGAAAATTAAAATTTTGTCGCATTTTTTATGGAAGCAACCCCGTATCTCACGTAATTGACTTTATCTTTGGACTTTCTCTTCCTCCGGCAAATTTCAGAACCCTACCTCAATAATTACGTGAGATACGGGGGTGCTTCCATAAAAAATGCGACAAAATTTCATTTTTCCGAACTGAAAATTTTTTCATTATTCCAAATGGGAAGATCATGTGATAGGTACATGGCGAAAATAAAAGACAGATAGTTTCTGTACGAGTAGCTGAATTCGAAAAAATATGTTCCTATCTTAGATTCCTCAATATCATGAGTTATTTTCGAAGGTTTTCATCTTGACTCAAACAAGCTATTGACAACCTGCAGACATTGATCAGAATATCAAAACATTTTGAATAATATCGGTTTACTAATGATATATAAATTTCAGAGGCTACCAAGTATCGATCGATACATCATCAAATTCATGTCACAGCCAAAAAGTATTCTTTTTGAATAAAAAGCAATTCAACAGCGAATTAAGAAATAAATATCACTTTGTGATACATGATTGGATAGGGAACTCAAGGCGAAAAAGATAGACTGAAGAAATGTACAGGGTGACATTTGAAAAAAAAGTTGGGGTCATTTCCGGTCAAACAGGTGGTTGAAAAAAATTGTCGTCGAGTTCGTTAAGTGCGCTATCATTTATTATATACCCCCTGTGAATTTCAAAATTTTATCTCTTCAAATAAAAAAACTACAGGCTGCTACATGTCTCCTGTGTCACCCGGTATACCGGTTCAAAACTATTTTTGAAACTTTTTTGGCATCCATATTCCAGTTTCCCATGAATAACCATTAAATAACCATTCTCAAGACATCTACGGTGGATTAAATTCGGATATAGTGACCTAGTGACTACATAATATATTGCCTGACCAGGCTTGACCCTTGCTGATGAAACGGGGATTTCTTTTGCCATGGCCTTCAAGAAGCGATTATTGAAAATAAGTTTAATGGATTGAAAACCGGTCTCTAATCATGGCGAATTTGTGATTACTGTTTATTTGTATGTTGTATCCCGGTATCACATAAACACTGTGTCATCTCTAAAATCATCAAACCTATCAACCGGAGGAATATGCAGAAGCAGAATGCAGGTGAAGTTTTTGTACTATATGGTAAAAACTGATAAATGTTTTGTGTACTGAAAGTCGAGAACTACTGAAGAGTTTCATCCATTATGGTAAGCTATTTAAACTAGTTCCTAATCTAATAGATTAAGATAAACTAATTGATTTATGGAATTTGGTAGGAGCTTCGAAATGATTGAAGTTGAAGGTCATTAATATTTAATGATCTTTAATCATAGGTAGGTACCTACACACGTAATAGTAGTATATTTATTCCCATATTCATTTGTTTTTTGTATCATACGGATGTTCTCATAGGTAGTTAACTATACTTTTATAATCATTATTATGGGTATCATATTGTTTTTAATTCAATTTTGCTAATTACCTGAATTACCTCTATTATTGGTGTATCTACACATTTTTTTTACAGACAATAAGAAATTATACACATGTTCAAATGGGAAATTATTTTATCATCGCTGCATCATTATTATTGAATATAATATCAATATCCTGCCAAGAACTGATATCACCTTGTCCAAGACTGTTCACCTATGAACCAAGAAATCCCAACGAACCTGATAAGTGGTATGGGAGGATCAGCTTGTTGTCTGATTCTGATTTATCTGGAGTGTGGCTGAGAATCATTTTAGATAAAAAATCCATACAGTTAGGGGTGAGTTTTTAACCGACTCCATAAAAAGAAGAGGTTATATTCTTAATGTTAACGCGTAAGTTTTATTTTTCAATGCTGACACCAGAACACGCAATTATGTATATCTTCGACCTGAGGGCGAAGTGAAATGTCTCATGAAATAACCTACCCACATCAACCCCCTAAGTCACAGGCTCCCCAACTGAAATAATTTTAGTAGCGATATCTACCTGTGGAACCTCATTGAATTGGTGGATAAGTGAAAGGAACCTTATGTTCAAATCACCATACTCGTCTAAAATGAACAGTGTTTGCAGAAACTTGAAATGTTCGTTGTTATTGAAGAATTTCAAATTATCAGTTGGCTTTGGTTTTCCAGAAGAATTCAAAAGTGTTTGGAAATTTTTTCTTTTATACTTGTATATATAATCTTCAACGTCTTCTTCTGTTAAAATTTTTTCATCAACCTACAATAGCTGCAGGGATATCGAAATAATAGTAATTTACGTAACAAGTCCGGAAAATACTGTTTTTTTGGACGAATAGACAAAATTGTAGGCCGGGCCGTAGGCGAATCCTGGAAGTCTGCGGGTCCAAAAAAATTGCTTTGGGAAGTGTTGCGTACACATTTTTTTCGGCAACCATATGTAGAATAACAATTCAATGAGACACATTTCCATATTATATTTCTTTGTGGAATACAATTTCTTCTTTATTAATTCCTATTTATTGTATCAAATACTGAAATTTGAACAGAATACCTATGAAATTTCGTTTGGACATTTTCAAACTCACTATCGAAGCTGCTTTCGATAGTTTATTGAGATAAAAAAATCCAAATGTCAACTAATTTCATGTCAAATAGCTGTCAGCCGAAATTTCGATGCTATGGTAATTATCATCTGCATTTACCAAAACCTTATCTACCAAGATTTTCATAGTTACAGTGACAACAACGATGTGATACTTCCCGGCTCAGTCCGGGAAGTAAGTAAAAATGCTACTGTCTCAAAGAAAAAACGTCCGGGAAGTGAGCACTTTCCGGACGGTTGCCGAAAGACATTTTTTGCTACAGACCCCACTCATGGAGAATATAATAAACCCGTTCGTTTTTTCGGCAAGCCAATATATCAACCGAAATGATTGAGTAATGTAGAAATTCTTCAATAACCACTAAAATTTAAGTATTTTCAAAATTCTGCTATACTTCGTCATTTTAGATAGTGATTTGAATATACAGGGTGTCCGGGAACATGTGGGAAATCTCCCGGATATGAAGGAAACACGTGAAAAGAATACTATAAGTTCATATAAACTTCTTTTGTATCGGCCTCCTCTTCGGAGATATGGGCTCCCAAAGAGCTCCCATGGAATTAAGTTTTTGACACATAATTCTTGAACCAACAGGTATATTTCAATTTTTTTTTAATATGATGTATACTAGGTAAGACTCTTCAAATTACTATCCAAGAAAGTGTTGCGAATTACTCACAGCTCCAGGGACGGACTAGCTGTGACACTCATGAGCCCATTTTTTTTACGCCCTGTATGATAAGAACTCTGGACAACGTTTTTTACATACCTCTAACTATTGACTAAA